TAAAATAAATTCAAGTAATTCAATGTAAACTAAATTATTTTAGTTTAGTAGCAACACACAACTTTCACTTACCGATCTACTTTGAATAGAAATTATTTTCTGGCAATGGTGGGCTATTATAAAAATTTTTGAAGTGCATTTTAAACGGAGCTAAAGCTTAAAGTTTACAGATAACAAGTCATTAAGACCATTATAATTACAAAATGTCTATTTAATATATCGACGACAGGCAATAAAAATTTAGTCACTCCATCTGCTTTTATAAACCACACAACTTTCTTTGCTTTTATAAACTACAGAATGACTAACTCCAATTTCAACATTTTTGAGTGATGTCATTTTAGTGATATTTTTAATTGAAAAAGTTATCTATGCAGACAATGAGTAAGTTGATTCCAGAGGTGGTGATTGCAATGTTGAAATACAGAACTGAGAATAAAGGTATAAATTTAGGTACTTATTTCTTATGAAAGATGTTCTTAGGAAAGACACTTTATTAAATATCTGTAGAAAAAAGGTTTTTTTATTCTCAACAATTAAAAAAATATATTTTAAATTTATCCAAATTTTCGCCTCTTCAGAGAAAAAAAACTAGAGACCATATTTTTCCTCCTAATTGTCCGATTTTAACGATTTTTTTTTAGGGAATTCCATAATCTTATGAAAACCATATACAATATCTCCAAAAAATGTCGCAAGTTTTCTCTCGCTCGTCCCACTGTGTGGCGGTTGCAAGGAGCTTTTTGGATGTGAAACCTCTCAACATAAAGGGCGAAAAAATGTTTTCATTGGTCCATGTATTTATTTTTGCGAGTTACCTGAGCTAACAGCAACTGAATTTACGTCACATGTCGTAAAAAAAATATTATTCCTCTAAACCATTTTCTTTTTTCTTGACAGGCTTTGAAGGATATATTAAACATTATTTTATGTAGTTTCTTTATCTGTATTTTCTTTAAGAGAAAAAAAAATACAATCCCCTAAAATTAAATCCTGGATCTGATACTACACCACTAGTTACTTCAATTAACTTTAAAAAAATTAAATTTATTTTAAAAGGATATATTATTAATTTTAAAAACTATATTTTTTATATTAAAAATTAACACTAATTAAGATTGTTGTTTTTTGTTTAATTATCTTAGCAATTCCAATATCCATAACCGAAATACGAAGGCATTTTGTGTGACCAACGAGATCACTACATTGAACTAACCCATTCGAATTACGGCCAGAAAGTGAATTTTCATTACCGTTTACCGGTGAAAGGCACAAACCATTCCGTCCTATTCCATTGTGCTTATTGGCTCACTCAGGCGTTACTAAAACTGGGTCACTAAACGATCGTTACTTTTCACAGAGAGAGAGAGAAAAAAAAAAAGGAATCTAAAATGCTTCAAACATACTAGGATTTGCAATAGTAATGATATTTACGATAATCTTTATTTGTTATTTCTAAAAGGTGTTGTTTTTTTTTCCGCAACGCCATTATTTGGTCAATTCCACATTAAGTCAAATGATTGATTGAGCCATCATTTTAAAGATCTTCAGGTGTGAAAAATAAGTCACATCCCCCTAAAATTTAAAGAAAAAGGTTTTCTAAGGAAAAGAGACTTTATTTGCGAATAACTCAAAAAATGTGCATTTTTTCATAATTGTATCCATGATTATTAGAAAAACTACTAAATTACTTAAAAAAAAAAAAAGCGTAAAATTGAGACGATTATTAACAAAGAGACAATCGATGATATATTAGAGTTGGTATACATAATAACTTCATCCTCTTAAACGATGCATTTTCTAATATTTACGTTTTTCTTACTGATATATATATATATATATATATATATATATATATATATATATATATATATATATATATAGTTCGTGGTACAGACCTCTTTTTACCGAATTATTAACATCCACTTGAGGCTTCGTAAATAGCTTCATCTCATCCTAACCTACAACTATTTTATTTACGAAAATTCAGGAATTCAGGCGTTTTCAATCTGGAAAGGGACAAACTTTGTCTATTTCATTTTTATTTCTTTATTTATTTAATATTACAACAATCTGTCTCTTGGACATTAGTTATAGTGAGGTAGCATAACATTCACACTTGTCTATTTCATTAGGTACGAAAAATTCGTAAATACCCATTTGCTTTCTACTTGGATCGTAAGATAATTTGATCACAAATTCGATAAAAAAAAAAAGTGGCCTTCAAGAATATTGAGCCGTTTGGCGTGACTTACATCCTCAAATTTTCAAAATAACGAGGTTATATTGGACAGACGACCCAATATTTTTGTAGGCCACCTTTTTTATCGATTTTATGATCATATTATGTTACCAATTCCAAAGAGTTTTCGTAAATAAAATAGTCGTAGGTTACGATGAGATGAAACTATTTACGATGTTTCAGGCGGATGTTAATAATTCAATAAAAAGGGATATGTACCACGGACTAATACTTAATTATTTCATATACGACATGTACCCAATTGTTATTTGTACAAATATTTTGATCAATTATGTTAAATAAAATAGTGTAATCAACCAAGTAAATCACAATTAATTTCTCCTCAGATAATAGATAGGGTCTACTTATTCCATATTGTTTTGCGATTCCTTCACTGAGCAATATATTCTGCGAATTATTCGCACGGGCCAATTAGTAAATAATTATTATTAAAATATATAATTAACAGTCGTTGTTTTTGCCTGTAATTATACATAGATATTTTATATATATTTTTATAATATGATTATTATATCATATATGGGAGGATGAATCTATTTTACATGGTTTCGTCCTTGTCATAGCTTACATAACATCCTGGAAATGAAGCCCCAGTTCTAAAGGAACACACAATACCTTGAATTATACAACCTCCAAGGTACAAACACAATTTTATATATATATATATATATATATATAATGTGAATATGGATCTGTTATTAGTATGAAAGGAATAATTATTATCCAAAAAGGTATAAAGAATTTATATTGGTCAGAAATCATAATATATTTAACTGGTCCCGCTTAACCGGTCCCCCAGATTAATCAGCGGCAAAGGGGAAATAATTTATCAAATTATTAACTTCTTTTTTTGTTGGAACAACAAGCGCTTGAAGCCTTTCATTTTTTTTTTAATCAAATTATTAATATCAGTCAAAAACTTCGTGAAGGCTTTATCATAGCATAACTTACAATTGTTTTATCAACAAAAATCCTCGAAAATGAGGCGTTTTCAAGCTGAATATTGGCAAACTTTTAATGTGCTACTAAAACCTGATCAGAACCCATTTGCTTTTCTCTTGAGTTTTAAGATAAAAAATCACAAAATCAAGAAAAAATATTGGGCCGTTTCGACAACATGTCAAAATAACGAGGTTATATTGACCAAGCGTTCCAATATTTTTGTGGGCTACCTTTCTTCACTGTTTTGTAACCAAATTATCTTACGATTCAAGTTAGAAGCAAATGAGTATTCGTGAGTTTTTAGTACTTCATTTAATTAATTAATTTCGTCAGAATTTTATTATGTTATGATAGGAAAAAAAATGCGAAACTTGGCCGCTTACATTAAGGGATGAGCAGCGTCTTAAGGTTTTTGAAAATAAAGTATTGCGTAGAATATTCGGACCGAAGAAGGATGAGTTAACCGGAGAGTTCAGACGGCTACACAACGCCGAATTGCGTGAGCTGTATCCGGGTAATATAATTGAGGTAATTTCATCGCGGCGAATCAAATGGGCTTGTAAAGTTGTTGGGCTTAGTAACGAGAGAATTCCTAAATTTGCTGTGCCGAATGGTAAGCGTCCGAGGGGTAGACCGAAGCGAAGGTGGGAAGATTGCATTAAAGCCGATCTGAAGGGACTGGGTTTGGACGGCGAACGGTGGAGGGAGGTGTGTAACAAGCGATTGGTGGTGTCGGCATCGAACCTTCGGGTTCGCTAAGCCTTATTATTATTATTATTATTATTATTATTATTATGATAGGAAAAAACGCAGCAAATTATTTCAGAATGTTTTTTTTTTTTTTTTTTTTTTTTTTTCCAACAATTATACATCTAAAGTAAAATTACATTTCTAGTAACAAATAAAAAGTTAATTCTAATTATTTGCCTAAACATTTTTTTTTTCGTCATTAGTAATTTGTTATAAAAGAAATAAAAACAAATAGCATTACTTCATTAACACATTCAAAAATCGAAATCCAAAACAAAGGATTTGCAGTAGAACATAAAAAACATCTAGAGACCATATCTTTGCTCCTAATTGTCCGATTTTTAGTAAATTTCATAAACTTTTAAAAAACCATTACAATGGTTCAATATTGAAAATAATAAACCAAAAATATTTAAAAATCGCGATATCTTCACTAATGGTGCTCTAATTTCGGTGAAACTTTCTTCGTTTTTTTAAGAAATTTAAATACTTTTGAAACATCTTATTAAAATGTCGACAAAAAAGTGTATACTTTTTGAGTTATTCGGAATTTTACCATTCCTAGAACTTTTTCTCCAGCTTCTTTTCGTTGAAGTATGTTATATACATAAATTTAAAGGACATCAAGAAGAAGACTTTAGCCAAGTTTAATTGAAATCGGTACATTCGTTTTGGCGTTACAGCCTACAGCAACGTAGGTTTTTCGGCCGCCATTTTGAAATTAAATGGAGGATCACCCTTGAGTTACCTCTGATTTTAAATTCAAATTTGAAAAAAATCTGAACGAGAATTTTTATTCGTTTTTTTTTCGAATTCTCCGTATCCTGAAACGTAAAACCTCAAATTTTGAGAAGAGGATTAGTTTTTGAATTTTTACGTTCGATTACAATGGTTCATTATTGAAAATAAACCAAAAATCCGTGATGAACTTCTCATTTATTTTAACATTGTTTGATTATCAGTTTCCTACATTATGATGGTATATTACAACTGTTTTAATTTATTGTCGACTTTATTTATATATGAATTTTTTTTTTTTTTTCAGGTGGCAGGGAAAAGATTAGAACGCTTGACTCGTATACGTGAGAGCCTAACACGTCAATTAGATAAATACAAAGAAGAAAATGAAGACTTAAAATTTCAAGTAATTATTTTTATTTTTATTATTTGCATGGTTGCGTGAGATGTCCACAGCGATATATTTTTTATTTTATTTATTTATATATTTTTTCTTTCTTCTTCTTAAGTGATCTTGGTTTTTCTGTTCCGGTGTTGCCTGAATTGGCGATACGTTGGCAAATTAACTATTCACCTGTATGTTACGAGACTCATGGCTTCGTTGTTTGGATTTTTCCATTTATAACATAGTTACCTTGCGTCTCTTTTCTAGCGTTTATGCTTATTTTAGTATTCATATTATATTTAAAAATTAATTAATTTGCATTATTGCATTAATTTATAATTAAATAATGGGTGTCTTTGAGCCGCTTGATACTTTCACCTAGAATTAATGCAAAATATTTTTATGTTATTATGATTGCAGACATGATACGATTAGATAAAAACTCAAACACGCCCTTTGATTATCGGTAGGTTTTAATCATTAGCATCTAGAGGTCATTGACATTGTTAAATGGCAGTCGATATCATAACTATCAACAATAATCGATAATTTATGTAATCGTTTCTCAATAATAAAGATACGTATTCGACGTCTTGTATTTAATCACTTATGATTACGATTCTTGGTAACTGTTGTTGCGGAAATCGCTGAAAATCTATTGTATTGTATTCTTAATAGTTGACCGTTGTATTATTGAGGAAGGAGATGGTCCGGTGTGGAGGTCATAAATAGACTAAATAGTGGCAAAACTATTTTATTAATAGCCAACATTTCGACCCGACTTTGCAGGTCTTCTTCAGGGAGGTGTGTTCAGCAAGGAGTTTCACTTAGAACTGGGGAAAAAGATGTTTTTTTTTTTTTTGTAGTGAGACTCCTTGCTGAACACACCTCTCTGAAGAAGACCTGCAAAGTCGGGTCGAAACGTTGGCTTTTAATAAAATAGTTTTTTGTCTCTATTTAGTCTATTTATGACCGCCACCCCGGACGATCTCCTTCCTTAAAATCTATTGTAGTTTGATTTTTTATATTTCCTTATTATATGGATCATTTTTGACCATATCCCGAAATATATCCCCTTGATTGCATCTACGATTAACTATATCTCCATCTTTTTATATTATTTCTCAAAGATTTTTTGTTTTGTTTTTTCCGTACGCCATAATCTTGATTTTGGTTTGAAAATTTTCTTCTCTGCCAAGTGCAGAAAATAAGCACTTCCCCAGAAAAGTCAGAGGAAAAACCTATGAAGAAAAGCAAACTTTACTAACGCATAATAGTGGATTGATAATTGTAGTGAGTGATAAAAGAAAAGTTGGGTTGGAGTATTAAAAAAAAAAAAATGATAAATAATATTTATTTTTATATTTGCTGACTTTTTGGCCCCAAGTCCAGGCCTTCATCAGGGCTAAGAAAAGACCAGATAACAATATGAGAAAATATTAACTTATGAAAAGAAAAAAAAATATTAATAATAATAATGGAAGGAGATGGTCCGGGGTTGCGATCATAAATAGGCTAAATAGTGGTAAAACTATTTTATTGAAAGCCAACGTTTCGACCCGACTTTGCAGATCTTCATCAGGGAGGTGTGTTCATCTAGGAGTTTCACTTAGAACAATTTACTTGAGTTCGAAGTGAAACTCCTAGATGAACACACCTCCCTGATGAAGACCTGCAAAGTCGGGTCGAAACGTTGGCTTTCAATAAAATAGTTTTACCACTATTTAGCCTATTTTTGACCACAACCCCGGACCATCTCCTTCCTTTATAATGCAACGGTCAACTATTAAATATTTAATAATAATAATGTAAGGAACGTTTGAAAAAAAAAATTACAGGAACAGAGAAGAACTTATAAAATTAATAATATTGTTATCATTTATCTCTAATAGTATTATTTTTATTTCATAAGTTCCTCTATGTTACTGAACTATTTTTTTTTTTTTCATAATTTAATATTTTCTCATATTGTTATCTGGTCTTTTCTTGGCCCTGATGAAGGCCTGAACTTTAGGACTAAACGTCAGCAAATATAAAAATTAATATAATTTATTTATTTCTATTTTCTTTTTCTTTTTTTTTACTGAACACACCCCAACCAACAATTTCTTTAAGTACTAACGCATAACACTAGCGAATCCAGGATTTAATTTTGGGATTGGCTTTAGTCCGAAAGATTTTTTTTTTCATATATATATAAAACGATAATTAATTTGAAAAAAAAAATAAAGAAATTAACTACCTATATGAAATGGTGTTTAAGTTATTCTTGAAGTCCTGTTAAATGTAATTACACGAACAAGAATACTTTAAAAGATAGTTTATCAATATTTTTTTCTTTAAAATATGGTTATATTTTACTATTTTGGGGGGGGGGGGCTTCAGCCCGAAAGCCCTCCCCCCTGTAGATCCGCCTGTGGTTGATAATACCCAAAATAATTAGAACGTGTTCCGAATTCTCTACAAAACATCTTTAAGAAGGTCTAAAACTTTAAGAAATTGATCTTTCCTTTTATATGAGTCATAATTATGTTCTATGAATTACGAATTAAGCGAATTATTATGTTTTTCACATGAATTTAATAACTCTTCCACCCTTAATATTCGTAGATCTAAGTTGAAGCTTACTTATGGGTTGCAGAGCCATTAATTACATACTAAATAGCTCGTAATTGTGGGAAAATGGTTGACTGTCGTGAATAATAAAGAGAAGAATAGTTGGGGTGTCAAATAAGAATACTCTTCGTAAAAACGGAGAGTCACTTTTTACACCTTTGGAGACAGCCCTGATGAAGGCCTGAACTTCAGGTCGAAACGTCAAAATAAATATTATCATTTATTTTCTCCTTCTTATTTGACTGATCACCCCAACTATTCTTCTCTTCATTAATAGCTCGTAGTTGTTATAAAGTCATCGGGATGTCTCTAGTCCCGTTGCCATCGAACGGAAGGACATGCTAACTAGAAGAGACCCTAACCCGATCATGGCTGCCACACAAAGCTGCTATTGTCCTCCATTGATCTGCCGCGATGGGCTGCTTACACAACCGTTAGCCAATAAACCAGAACACGCTCTGCTGGCTACTAGGGAATGGGTAATGTATAGTCGCTTCTTGTAATCGCGTCGACAATGGATCCTATTTAAGAAAAGGACGGAAGAAATGTCTGAAAAACGGAATAATCTCTTAAAATAATAATAGGAGTTAGCCTATTTAGGAACCTTACTCCAGTTCGTCCCCTCGAAGCACTAGCGAATCCAGGATTTAATTTTTTGGGGGGGCTTCAACCCGAAAGATTTTTTTTTTTCATATCCATATAACGATAATTAATTTGAAAAAAAAAGAAATTAATTAATTACCTATATGGAATGGTGTTTAAGTGTTTCTTGAAGTCCTATTAAATATAATTACACGAACAAGAATACATTAAGAGATAGTTTTTAATTTTTTTCTGTAAAACATGCTAATATTTTACCATTTTGGGGGGAGGGAGGGAGCTTCAGCCCGAAACCCCAACCTCCTCCCTCCCCCCGTAGATCCGCCTGTTCCTCGAAGGTAAAGAACCTGACAAAGGTTTATTTTAGCGTTTCTTGCACATAATAATTTTAGAAAACCTTAGTCAGTATGCCTTTTCAGTCACATATAATCCGTGATACAGACAGATCCCTTTTTATCAATTATTAACAACTGCCTGAAACTTCGTGAATAGCTTCATATCATCGTAAACTACAACTATTCTATTTACCAAAATTCTTGTAATTGGGACCTTTTTCAATCTGTAGATCGGCAAACTTCGTTTATTTAATTAGGTTAAAAAAAAACTCGTAAATACTCGTTTGTTTTCCATTTGGATCTTAAGATAATTTGAGCACAAAATTGAGAAAAAAGTGGTTGCCTCCAACAAAAATTATTAGTATTTTGGCGTGACCTACACCCCCACCCCCAATTGTCAAAATAACGAGAGTATATAGACCAAACGGCCTAATATTTTTGTAGGCCACCTTTTTTCTCGATTTCTTGATCAAATTATCTTACGATCCAAGCAGAAAGAAAATGGCTATTTACGAGTTCTTAGTACCCAATTAAATAGACAAAGTTTGCCAACCTCCAGATTGAAAACGCCTCGATTCCAAGAGTTTCCGTAAATAAAATAATTGTAGGTTAGTATGATATGAAGCTATTCACGAAGTTTCATGCAGATGTTAATAATTCGATCAAAAGGGGTCTTTTATTTTTATTTCCATCTCCCTTCCTTGTCTTTTCGACTATAAGGGATTCCGTTTTTTTCTAGTATTATCGGAAATTTAATAACTTTTCACAAAATTTCATTTAAAAATCGGTACAAATTATTTCACAATGGTTTATTATTTCCAAACAAATTAACTTTCCATGTAACATTACGGAGAATAAATAAAAAGGGATTCCTAACATTGGCCTAAATAATTTTCTTTGTTATCATTGATAATTTGCTTTAAAAAAAAAAATACACAACATTGTTTCATTTTATGTAAAACTTTCAAACATTCAAAAACCAAAGATATAAGCTTTGCAGTAGAACATATACAAAATATTTAGAACACCATATCTTTGTACCGAATTGTCCTATTTCAATGATTTTTTTTTTTTTTTTTTTGGACATTTCGTAAAATTTAAAAAAAAAATCATATACAACATCAACAAAAAAGTGTATACTTCTTGAGTAATTCGGAAATCTAATTTTACCATCCCTCTTAACTTTTTTTCCAGCTTATTTTTGTTGAATTACGTTACATAGATAAAGTTTTAAGGGCATCGAAGGAGAAGACTTCAGCCAAGTTTCATTGAAATTGGTACATTCCTTTAGGTGCTACAGTTTATACCAACACAGGTTTTTCGGTCACCATCTTGGAATGAAAGGGCAGATAGTAATGTCGTTAGGAATTTTATAGTAAAATAGTGACTATTATTTTTTTTTTTCTGTTGCCACACAGACTTAACAACATCATCTAACAAAACTAAACGACTGGTGCAAACTCTGGAAAATTCGACTCAACCAAGACAAATCACAACACATCACTTTTACTCTTCGACATGGAACATGCCCTCCTATTTACCTTGACAATGCCGAAATTCCTCAAACAGATAAAATACAATATCTTGGACTGACATTCGACAGAAGAATGACATGGGGTCCACATATCAACAAAAAAAGAAAAACTTTAAACCTCAGACTACGACTGTTATACTCACTTCTCTCAAGACGCTCAAAATTAAATCTAAAACAAAAACTGAACACTTACAATTATCTATTTAAGCCCATATGGACCTACGCTTCACAAATTTACGGAACAGCCAAAACGACTCACATACGAAAACTACAAAGTTTTCAGTCTAAAACTTTCAGAACCATAACCAAAGCTCCATGGTACGTCACAAACATTACACTACATAAAGACCTTCAAATGCCAACAGTTAACGATCACATACGGACACACTACAAGCGATTTCACAATAACTTACATGGACATACTAACACACTTATACAAAGTATGGCTACATTTAACATGCCCAAAAACACACTTAGGAGACTCAAAAGGAGCTGGATGAGGGATTTCCTCACTTAAAAATATGCTAAAATCAAGACAGAAAGGGATGCCGCTGGGTACTCCTCTCCATCACGCCGATCAAGCCACTACCTGTACACTTACCGACAGCAGACCCGCTAATTGTCATTGCTTATGACAGGTGTGGGTGAATAAATAAAGTTAAAAAATATATATATATATATATTATTTAATATCATGTAATTATTTCTTTTCAGCTGGAGGAAAAAAGCATTGAGTTGGAGGGCACCAGGGCACGAGTGCGACTCCTGGAGCGAGGCCATGAATCGAGAGAAGCTGACAATTCCTCGACTGAGTCGGCTGGCCAGCAGAGCGGGGAGACCCCGAAGAGACCCCGGTCGAGGATACCACTCAAGGCGACCTCCATCAAACCCCCCCGGCCCATCCCCATCTCCCAAAACAGGAAACCTCCCGCCCAGGTACGGCCCAACAAGCTAGGCTTCCTCGGGAATTGGCTGAGGATATCCTCGGGACCCACCGCCTAGTCCACTGCGCCACTCCTTGCGAGGTCTAGTCCCGCCAGCTCCTTTTCCTCACACCGTATCCTCTATCATACACCGTCCCATTAATGCTTATAGAGAGTCATTAGATCATCCTTTCAAATTTATCCTGTTTTGTTTCTCGTTCCTATTGTGGTAAGATGACTTTAGTTATTTGACTAACTCATTAACAGTACTCCTATCAGTCAATCTTCTTTACTCTTCTTAATCCTATCATAAACATACAGCAGACTTTGTACCTAACTAGTTGACGTAGCCGTAATATATGGCAAAACTCTCTTTTAATGCTTATAAATGATGTCCTTTTCCAATTTTCTTGTATTTAATAATATTATTACATAGCATTGACCCTTTTAATAATGTAATAACATTTATATAGTTTCTGCCTTTCTTTTTAGTTTAAAGCATTTTTTCTTTTTCAGGTTAGTTTCCTCAGTATGTTTAATTGTAATTTATCTTATTTATTTTATTCTCTATCTGCTTTTAACCTTTTTTTTCTTATTCTTTGATACATATCTCTTTTATTTCCATTTGGGACTAGACCTACATTTTCTAAAACTTTTTTTTCTATTTTTTAAGTTACCAAAAATTATAAATTTAAATTTTTATTCTTCAGAATTTTTAGTTAGTTTGTTTCCATTGTTTCTCTAATCCTCTGGGCCGTAAGTCCTCCAGCTTTATCCTCTATAGTTTGATTTTATTATTTATAAATTCCTCTTTAAGAGTAATTTAATAATTAACCTTTTTGAAAATATTCCCCACCTTTACTTTATTATTCCCTTTAAGTTATTTTAGCACCTCTTAATTTGGTTTTACCAGCTTATTTTTTTTTCTTTCTTTTGTTCAATTTTACAAAGCTTTGCTTGGTTTGCTTTGCTGCCCTAAGTCCTTTCCCTAGAGCCTTGGAGCCATCTCCGACACGACGCCCCCCATTTTAGTAAGTTTCTACTTTTAATTTTTTTTTTTTTTTTTAACCTGTCTGTCTCTTCTTTATCTCTTTATTTTATTTTTCCCATCCAAAGTGTTACGTATTCCACTTTTTTTTTTTTCGTACTGGTTTCTGTTTTTTTTCCCAAAAATTAAAAAAAAAAATTAAATTCATAAAAGTTATGTAAGAAAAGAAAAAAAGAGATAAGGAGGCAAAAGAATATTATCTTAAATTTATATTTTTGAGATGATATAAACGCTTTGTGCTTGGGTCGCTTTTGAATTAACAATGCAACCTATTTATTTATTTTTTAATTAATTAATATATATCGCATGTTATTGAGGGGGGAAGCATGCTCAGAGGATTAGTATAACATTGGACATTTTTTAATTTCATATTTTACTAGGTTAGGATACTTATTTTAGTGTTATGTTAATTTTATTTATAAACCTCATATGCCAGAAACGTTCACGTACAGGCAAAAAAAAGTTATTTTTAACTTTTTATTATATTATTATAAAATAAAAGTAATAGGTCAGATATATATAAAGATCACACATATTTTTTTTTTCCTTTTACTATTTAAACTACCAAAAATTGAAGAAGAATGATAACCTGTTCTTGGAAGCAATTTTTAAAAATTAATGCTGTTATCATTCTATATCTCTTAGAAATCTAATTTATAATTTTGTATCAGAGCCTTTATTTTATAACTTTATTTTCTCGTACTGTGTCATCAGTCATGTTTCACTATATATATATATATATATATATATATATATATATATATTTTTTTTTTTTTTTTTTTTTTTTTTTTTTTTTTTTTTTTTTTTTTTTTTTTTGAACCCAATAAAGGTGTACTACTATACCTTTGTGATACAGACTAATAGGATCAATCAATTCACAGAACTTGGGGTCAGTAATACAATCACTTCTAAAGTGAAAAGTCACTAGCCTAGTTATCACATTTGCATGGAATGTGATAACTGGTTTCTTCCTCCATGCCACATAGCCTACAGGTAGGAGTCTCGGAAGGTGCTTTTTGAGTCGACAGTGACTTGTATACAGTCCTGTCATATACTCGATGGCGCTGCTGTAAGTGGAGTACTACACTTATCTTGGAACAGTGTCCTTCTAGGAACAACTTTAAGTGTTGTTTTTTTAGCCAAACCACGGTCTTATGTCTTTTGGCATTGCTGAAGCTAATCCCTCATATGGGCTCTGGGTCTGAAGTATCATTGCAGACACCTTTGACTACATTAGAACCTGTCAACCTTTCACAGTCCATGACCTTCCTTGAACACAGAAAATCCAATTAGAAGTGGATTAAATGTGAGTTCGCTCAATGCAGTACTGGTACAAATCCATTAGTAAACAGACATGCTTTTCAGTTCATCTTTGAAATGCCTACATCTAAACTTTGAAAGTGTAGATAAAGTCATTTAAAATATTACGTATTATGGGAGTTATAGTTTAATTTCCAATAGGATCCATCTATCGTCCCATTGAGAGATTATACTGAGTGATGAATAGATTCAATCTCACCACTAAGTTTCATCTAGCAGTATGTCTGAAATTCATTAATAAAAAATAATAATGATGAAATTTATTGATTTATTGCATTCATTACATTTTGAATGTTACATTTGTTATGTTAGCTTTTAAAATTAATAGAATGCGTTAATTAAAATAATTATTTTAAGGCTGATTTCACCAATACCCAGCATGCCTGTATAATGGAGCATGTTGATTGTCTTTCAATTGTTTTCATTAACAACTGTTATAACTTTTTCTTATTATTGAATTATATTCAATGATAATTAATATTTTATAAAGTGTTTAAAGATAAACTTTATTTTGAAATTAGTTCTGGTTGTATCTGATCAAATTTGAAAGTTTCTTGAATTAAAAATAATAATATTAGGATGAATATGATAAAGATTTATTTTCCTAATACCTTAAAATAGGTAATTATTTAAAACCTAAAATTATGACCAATTACAAAATAGCATTTAGTTAAAATTTTAAAATTAAAATAAAGTGGAATACATAGGGTAATAAATTTATTTTGTACAGGAAAAAAAATGATTGAAGAATTGTTTGCTAAATTCTTATAGTAAATTTTAAAAACTTATTGATCCTAGCCATGAGTTAAAAAAAAATATTGTACTTAATATAATTAATGCTCAAAATAAGTTGATTAAACTATTAATTATTCTTTGTTTATAAGGTATGACAATATTTCCAACTGTACTAAATTAATTTAGTTCTTACTTGTTTTATTAATATTGCCCTAATTATTTCATTTGATTTGTATGATAAAACCAAATAGAAAATAATCTATAGAAAAGGAATAAAAATTATGTATTTAATACATTAAAATATCTACAATAAATAAATAAAAATAGTTATTAGGAGATTTGAAAGTATAGCACTGACAATAAATGGTTCCGGTAGAAAGAACCGATGCAGGTGGATACTGCCTCGTGGTCACCGAGTGTAGTTCCTGGCAGGAAATACATTGTCTCCACGGTACGGACCGTCCCATAGTCGCATGGCTACCCTCACACGAAATACACTCCCATTATATTATAATAATACTGATTCTGGTTTCCTGTAACCGCTTAGATCGTCCGAACATCCTAAAAGAGAAAAATTGTTCTGTCTGTCGAATTGACACATTATAAGAGATTAAGATCCTAAGTGGACTGACTCGGTTCATTTAATTTGGAAACAGAAAATTGAAAGTGTTTTGGTTATCATTCCATACTTTATTTTTTCAGTTGATTGAATCCAAATTTTCATTAGAAATAATTCTTATTTCTTTCTTAGTTTGTATTAACAAACAATAATTATTAATTAATTATAATTAATAATTATTGTTAATCAGAGTAACTACATAATATTCTTAATGATTATTATTTAAGTGTAATAAAAGTTTATATCTATTGGACCATAAGAATCCTCAGGAAAGTTTCAATACTCAAACGTTTTAAAGACTTCGTTCAATGGAATATTAGTAATTATTAGGAAGTAGTAGTGTTTCAAGGCCTACAGTTGTTAATGGAGGTGATTTGACCTAGATCAGACTCAATCATCTGATTTATTCTCTTGAAGAGAAGAATAGTTGCGGTGCTCAGTCAAAAAAGGAAGGCAAAAATAAATTATAATATTTATTTTTTACATCTGCCGACGTTTCAAAAAAATAAATATTATAATTTATTTTTGCCTTCCTTTTTTGACTGAGCACCCCAACTATTCTTCTCTTCATTATCCACGACAGTCAACCAATTACCAATTATGGATTTATTCTCTTATTTAATTTAGTGTAGTTAAATTGTTTTTATATTTTTTTAACCTTAATATTCTGTAGATTTTAAAACATACATTTTCTTATAAAATAAAAATAAAAAATGCCAGGAATTCAATACTACATCGCACACATATATACCAAAGTAATTCCACTAAAATAGACAAAAAGATAAGACGATGCTAGAAAAATTTAATAAATAATTAATATAAGACGTCCTCAATTACTATATAAATGATAGTGGATTATCCCCTCACCACTTTATATAGACTAGGTGGGCTTCAGGAGAATCTCCCAACCCCAGGGTCAATCCACAGCTAATAGCAGAATAAATAATTATCTGTCCCACCCTGCCTGACTCCAATCCGGGACCTTGAGCAAAGCAGCACAGTGTTTTACTCACTGAGCTACTCCGCTCTCTATATCTTAATAACCTTCATTTTGTTTTTAAAGACTCCAAATCGAACAGCTATTACATTTTTATTTTTTATTTTTTGTCTCAAAACAAAACTCGTGAAAATTCATTCAAATGAAATGAAATTCAAACTAAAATAGAGATCAAATCTATCCTGGTTTCCTTTATTGATATTTATTTAGTTAGTTGCTATAATTGTGTTAGGATATTTTCTGAATTAAGGACCTCAACATTACTTAATATTTCTTAATGAAGTCTTTATGAACATAAATATTCCTCAATAAATCAATATTTCTTGTTCAAAATAATTAATTTGTTCATAGTAATTTCAACAATCTGAGGTTATGTTAAATCAGCTGTTTGAATTGTAAATTTGTTGTATTTTAGGAAAAATAGCCATTTAATGAGTATTTAGTCAGTTAGCTTCGGGTATTTATGTTATCAATTTTGCAGAATGCAACAGCTCAAAAATTATTTGTTTAAGACTTTATTTTAAATATTTAAACATAATCTAATTATAATATTTGTATTTTATTTGATTCTCGCTCTCATTTTAGTAATTTTATTATTTTATGTTTTCAGGGAGGATTAGATCATGATTCATTAGAAAGCAGAGAACTAGACAGATCTATGAGATCTGAGATAGTTCTTCAGCCTGAAATAAGACAGAAGCCCGAGCCACACCAAACCAAATCCGTTTCAGCGACAACAAGAAAGAAAAAAGAAGACGAAAGCCTCCCTCGATACTTTGACTCCATCGATTCACTCCCGGAATCGGATTCCCTCGACATGGTCTAAGCCACCCTTTTTTTTTTTTCTTAAAAAATCAAATCAGAGGCCTTTAGGTTTAAAATTGAATAATCGTGCCACTGCGGCCAAGGCCATCTTTTTAATTTAACGGCCGAACCGTATAGTGATTCATGATTGAAAATAATCTTCAAGTGGTGGGTTTGAATAAATTCAAACTTCTAGTTAACACAAACCTTGAAGTAAAAGGAAATTATTGTTTTATTTATAATCACTGATTACTTTGTAATTTTGTTTGCAATCTTTTACTCGAGGTGCTATCGAGAATGATCTATTTGCCAATAGTCTACTGTATATATAGCAGATATTGTACAGTTTATAAAAAAAAAGTTTCTTTTTTTTTTTTCTATTTAAGCTGTGATAAACATGAATGATTCGAGTAAAGAGGAATTTAAAAAAATAAAAAAAATTACCAAAGTTAAACATGAAGTGTACATATATGAGTTTATATTAAAAAAATAAATAAAAATCCTATGTGTTTGTAAATCTATCGTTTTTGTGTGAAAAAGAAAATTTTAGTTTTTACGATAATATTTATCGACTTATAGAATATTCCTTGAGAAAATTATTATTTCTCCAAGGGCAGAAAAGTAGCATATATAAATATATTTTCTAATAAAAACTCTAAGGATTAGAAATTTGCTCACGAAACATAGATGAATTTATATTGTATTTAATAAAAATGCTGAGTGATAAACAGAGACCAAATTTTTATGCAGATCAAAAATATATAATATGCAGTAATGTTGCAATGAATTAAATTGCATAAAGATTTAATTTATTATTTAAGAAAAAAAAAATTCATACAGTTTAAAAGTAATAAAACTTTTAAAAATAAGTTTTCTGTATAAAATGTTTTATTTCTTGGCATTCACCGTTTGAATTAAGATTTCAATCAAAATAAAATAAAAACATTTTTCTCACAAAATACTGCAATATTTGCAGAAATTTATTACCATTCATAAATTCGCAAGATTAAATTGGACAACTGCTAAAGAAAAAAGCAAGCAATTGCATAAAAATTTGGCCTCTGTTAATAAATTATGATGGGAGGAACATTCAGTCACTTTAAAGTGAGGCTTTAGCATTTAGAAAATATCACTGTAATAGGATATATATTATAAATAATTATAAATATTGTATATTTTCTTTTTGTACCTAATCGTTGAATATAATTCAATTTTTCTCCTCCATCATTCCAATTTTTAAATTTACATTAAATGCATTCCTGTCAATAAATATTGATTGAAGAGTGTCGATTTAACTATTAGTTTTAAATATTTAAAGTGTATATTTATCTGTTTCTTCCTTCGATGAAATAAGATGTAAATAATGTATTGATATTGTCTCATATGTAAAAGACTTAAGTATAAGATTATTATGACTATTAAATAGGTAAAAAAAAAAAAACATTGTTTTTATATTTCTTTAACCTTAATATTCTGTAGATTTTAAAACATACATTTTCTTATAAAATAAAAATAAAAATTTCAAATGGCAGGAATTCAACACTGCATCACACACACATATATACCAAAGAAATTCCACTAATATAGACAAAAGGATAAGACGATGCTAGAAAAATTTAATGAATAATTAATAAAATACATCCTCAATTACTATTGTTATTCTTTGCTACAATTGTCAAATCTCAACTTATTAGTTAATATAAAAAAATTATTTTTTATCATATCAAGATATATTTTACTTACACGGTAAATAATAGTAAGAGAGAGGGAAGGGGTACCTTCAGGCTGGTGCCCCCCAAAAATGTAAGTTTTTGTTTATGATTGATCCTTATTTGTTACTGTGTGTGATCTACTTTAAATACTTAAACAATAACAATATGTTCTGTTTTTTAAAATGTATAATACAAACAAAGCTATTAAATATAACCAAGTCTTATGAAAAATAAATTATCTCTGAAATTATTATTGCTTTTGTAATTACATTTTGAATAGGACTACAAGAATCACTTAAAACACAATTTCATATAGATAGTTGGTTTCTTTCTTTTTCTTCTGAAGTATTTATCGTCATACATAAAAAAAAAATAGCTTTTGGGCTGAAGTTCCCTCTCCCCAAATTTAAATTCTGGATCCACTACTTGTAAGTGATATACTATGGAGTAAAAAAAAAATCAACAATAGCTGTACATAAATTTAGCCAAAAACAACATAACACTAAATCAGTCAATATGTGGTTAAGTACTTTAACATGATATTTAAAATTAGTAAAATTTGATTAATTTTGGAGAAAAATTTAAAAATCAATGAAGTAAAAAATATCATAGCAACTTCTTCAATCGATATCATGGTATGAAATTGGCATGATAATGTCTTCTACTTTTACGAGTTAATTAGTTTTGAAAAGCTGTAGACACAATTGTGTGTAGATTAAATTTATTATTTGAATAAGTAATAAATCTGACATAAAACAACGATAAGTTAAATCCACCGCAGGGTTGTAAAAGTCGACTCAATGTGAAATTACAAAGATGTCTATAACAAACAGTTGGTGTTAAACATTTAAATCTCCCTACTACTCAAATTTGTAATTTTCTAGTCAACATTTACATAGAAATCTTAACAATTACATATTTGCATAGACATTTTTAATATAGGGTGTAAATAAAATAATCACAGAATAAATAATAAATTATATATTTCAACTGAAAATAATTAGCACATAAGTTTTAAAAACTTAACAATATTTACTTGTGGAAACATCTAAAACACTATTACCCACCAAGCCTTTGTATATATTTAAGACATTTTTTTTTTCCTGATTAAAATTTATAAAATGCATAACATTTAATGACATATTTTTAAAATATAACATTATAAATATAAAATAAGTGATTATAAATATTTTCGAAAAGCTATCGAGTCATAAATAAGTAATCACAGTTTCAATTTCATTATTTCTTCTTTTGGAAAGTCCACCCTGAAACACGAAATAAAATTAATAAGTTTTTTAATGGAACACTGATTTAAAATTATAATTTTGTTATAACAATTTTTTTGTTTACAAACATTACAATACCTTAATTTGAGAACCTTCTTCACTTCTCCTGGAGCCAACCTCCAATTGAACCTTGTCCAGATATCGGAAATTTCATTGATCTTTTCCATGTTGAGAAGCTTGGCAACCTGACCTAGTCGAGCGAGCCTTTCTCTTATAGACATCGATGTAGTGCTGTTCAAGTATCCAGTCAGCGCCCTAACTTCCCTTTCAAGAGCCAGCCCGCCAAGCTGTAATGAACTTTACTTTATTTTATAATAAAAATAAAAACATACATAATTAATTGTCAAATTTAACGAATAATAAAAGCAAAAATTAAAAAAAAAAGGGATAAAAACTTACAATAAACCACCACTAAACCAGGATAAAGGAAAAATCACACAACTTTCAGTTAGCACTCAACATATAATTTAGGAGATAATATAATTATATATATATATATATATATATATATATATATATATATATATATATATATATATATATATATATATATATATATATATATATATATATATTATATTATATATAATATAATATAATAGGATATAATATAATAGGATATAATATAATTTAGGATACAAATAGAAACCAACAAAAAAATATTGTAAAATAAAATAATTCTTTGAACAAGGGCTTCAAATGAAAAGTTGTTTTTATTTTTAAACAATTTCAATATGACTGGAATTTTTCATTGTTTTTGTGTTATTTCGGAACTAAAACTTTTTCTCACAGAAATTTTCAAGAACTTCTACTTTTAGAAAACTTTCACTTAGAAGTTCTGTAAAAACAGTTCATTTCGCCAAAAATTTTTTTTTAAAATAGTAATTGTGCAGTATAATTTACTGCATATTTCTCATTTAAAGTAACATTTTTTTAAGTACATAAATATAATAAAAGTTAAATTTGTATACTTGATCCAGAACTTCATTATTACAAGAAACCTCTATTGATTTTTTTATTTTAAAATATTTTTGTACAAAACATTTTATCAAACTTAAAATAGAACTTTTTTTAAAGAGCCCCATAAAAGCTTCAATTCTAGTACACTATTTATTTTTGGTGTGCCAAACTAAACATATACTTTAAAAGTTTTTGCTTAATTTTTATGCAAATTCCACTAAAAGTGCTGTACTCAAAATTTACTCAACTTTTATCCAGTGTTTACAATTAATTAATTAAGAGAAAATATTTGAAAGGCTTACACAAGACTTTGTGTTGAAATTTTATAATAATATCTTAATTATGTTATTAACTAATTAAGAAAATGTTACATGATAAATAACTCACTCTGTTGAATTCCATTTTCATAATAACCCTTTCCATTTGGCTATTGACTTCATCAGCCAAAAATGTCACCAATGATTCAAAATTTCCTGTAATAAAAAATTATGTTTTTGAATCGAGAGAAAAAGGTATTAAAACTAAATCTAAATAATGATGTCATAAATTAAATAACTCAAAAGAAAAAGTAAGCCAAATGTTTTAAATCCCAAAAAAATTTTAAATGAGTCATATATATTAAAAATGAATTTATTAATTGAATTATCAAAGGTAATATTAATGGTTAACCCTGTAAAGATGTAAGTGCAAATTTTATAGTTTGAAGAGAAAAAAATAAGATTGGACTGCATCCACTTATTAATTATCTTTGTTTTTTTTGTACATTAGTTTATTTTTACATATATTAGCTGGTCACGTAACACATTAGTGCAGACCTAAATTTAACATTAATAATTATTATTAATAACTTCTGAAGAATCCCAATTTCAATTTAATATATTTTCCTGAACAGCAAACTAATAACTTATTAAATACTTTCTTGATAATAACATTTTGTTTCTATGAATACAAATATTTTCCTAATAGGGATAAAATATATTAGGGAGAGGAACAATATATAAGATAGATTTCACATAAATATACTGGTATTTTTATAACTAATATTTGATTTTAGTTTTTAATCACTTTCATTTCTTACTTTTATTATCTTATATATAAAAGGTACAATTAGCAATTGATGGCACGTTATGAAACAAAAAACTACTCAGGTTTTACAATGTTGATGAACTATTTAAAAATATATAAAATTGCATTAATGTACCTGAAGTCAAAGATGATCTGAATTCAGAAACTATACCATCGATATTAGCAATCAAACTTCTAACAAAGGGCTCGTTGGCTTCGTAACTGGAAAACTCTTCCTGCAAACAAAAATATCAAACTTTTAATATTTTGAATAATTGAGGAAAAATTATGGCTTAAAATAAATTAAAATATAATACTTCAGTGAGATTGTGCGAAAGTGCAAGAAACGAGTCAATCCATGGGGCCAGCCTGGGTTTGATGGCCGCGTTCGCCAGCTGCTGAAGGCCTAAGTCTTGAGCCATTCCCATCGCGGCACAGACGCTCGACAAGCCTGATAAGCAACCTTCCAGTTTTGATCTGTAACATTGATGCAGAAAGAATGTTAACATCACTCAATAAATAAACTAATCTAATTATTTATTAATAAATGCACACACAGTATTCAAAAACAATTTCTAGTAATTTTTTTTTAAATTTGGTACGATTTCATTTTTTATTTTTTAATTGATTTTTGGCCAAGCATCACAAAAAAATTAAACGAATTTGAATAAAAATGATATATAAAAAAATTTAAAAATGGTGCATAATATATAATTAAATTTATGTAAACTAAAATAGTCTAAATTAACATATATAAATTATTTAGCAAGGAAGGGAAATGCACCAGCCGTAATTTCAATGAACTGTACCATAGTAGAAGACTGGGTGCATGCAACAAAAAAGAAGTTGTTGGAAAATTGGGTAAATAGATGGAAAACTGAACAGTCAAAATTATTAGAAATAAAAACAGACTGCAAGAAGTGGGCTAGTAGCACAAGAATATCCAGAAGATAAGAAACCATATTGTGTAGAATACGAATAGGTCACTGCCTGTTTACTCACGGGTACCTTCTCAGAGGACTAGAAGCACCCACGTGCCAAAAGTGTGACAATAAACCGCAGTCAGTAAAACATCTGTTAGTAGAGTGTCACGAGTTCAACAACATTCGGAAAAAATTTAAACTACCTACAGAAATGAAAGAGATATTAAGAGACAAAGAAGATGGAATCACCACCTAATTCCGATACTTAATAGAGACAAATAACAATAAAATAAAATAAAAAGAAATTATTTAGAAATATGTATATAAAGAAAGTAAAAAAAAAACTGACGGTTTCCATACTCTTACAACGTAGTTCTGTTCACATCATATTAAACTTTAATTTTCTTTATAAATATGTATCAGAAAAAATCATAGCTTTTTGTGTTTTTATTATTATAACCAAACCTATAACAACGAATAAAAATTGAAAATTCATGAAGGTATCCCAATCCAACTATTTATTATAGAAAGAGCTCATAAAAAATATTTATAAGACTAATAAACTTACCTATCTGTTTGAGTAGGACATTGAACTTCTTGTGCTAAACCACTCGCTAGAGTTGTTACATATTCACTTCCGATTTCTGTGTTGTTCAAATGGGCCTATAAACAACAATTTTTATAAAGAGACAAATTGGAATTATATATGTATTGTGGCAAATTGGTAATGAAAAATTGTCAAGGGTTTTGCATGTTAAATCATGTCATAAACATTAATTGTGATATTACTTAAAATTCAAGAAGTTCTCTAAATACTTAACTAATAATTGATTAATTGTTAATTTACTCACTAAGATATTCATATCATACCCAAAACTGACATTCATTTTATAAAATAAACGAATAAGGTATAATTTGATCAAGTAATTTTTATTATATCTCCTTGTTAACTCAAAGCTTATAGGCCACGGTAAAGACCCCTTTTTTTATCAAATTGTTAACATCTGTCTAAAACTTCATGAATGGCTCAATCTTATAAAAATCTACAGCTTTTTTATTAATTCAAATTCTCGGAAATGTGTATATTCAAGGTGGAGATCAGTAAAATTTGTCTATTTAATAAAGTACTACAAACTCATACTTTCCAGTTAAATTGCAAGATAATTTGATCACAAAATAAAAAATAATAATAATGAAAAAAAAAAGGTGGCCTACTAAAATACTAGGCAATTTGGCATGACCTCCGCCGCTAACATGTCAAAATAACAAGGTTATAGAGGCTAAATTGCACAATATTTTTATAGGCCATCTTATTTCTCGATTTCGCGATCTTACCATTCAAGAGGAAAATAAATAAGTATTCATGAGTATTTAGTATGTCATTAAATTAATTAATTTAATGAGAAATATATCATTTTTTAAAATATCAGATAAAATTTTGTAGGTTACGATAAAAAATTTGTATTAAGAAAATGCAAATTCCATAAATATATAAATTAATATATTTAAGCCAGCCAAAGGTTCAAGTGTTAATAGCTTAATAAAAAGAGGTCTCTACTGCGGACAATTATAGTTTCAGTTAATTTGTCCCTTATAAAATTAGTAATAAATAATCATCTATCGTCAGGGTAAGCAAGTATATTGTAAAAACAACTCACAATAAATAAAGATTTAGCTTGCTCGGTGTCGGATGGCTGAAGCCTTGCATGAATCATACTGTAAGCCTGGGCTAGGTCTAAATAACCAGTCGGATAGCCTTGCTTAAGGGTGGCGTTGAGTTTCGTACACATCTCGTTCTCCAAAACACCACACGCATTGTTGATAACAGCACAAACGCCATCGATGCTACCAGTAGAACTTGCCCTCCTGAAAAATTATATTATTCTTTAAATTTCGTGATTAAAGAAATTGAGATTAAATTTTAACTAAAGAACATTACAGAAGATTTTTAAAGAAGTCTAAAAGCGGCCATCGAGAATCATTACAAACCAAATAGAACCTGAAACAATTATCAGTGTGATATCCTTTGTGGATTATTTAGAATACTGGAATTTCATTGGTCCTTAAATCCATCACACAACATCAAACTTAATAACTTCAACCCACCTTAATAGTCCACAGTACAGACCCCTTTTTATCAAATTATTAACATCCCTCTAAAATGCCTTCATCTTATGATAACAAATAACTTATTTATATACTAAAAATTCATGAACGCTCATTTGCTTTGCGCTTGAATCGTGAGAAATTTTTTCCACAAATTTAAGAAAAAAAAATTGCCTAACAAAATCTTGAGCCATTTGGCCTATGTAACCTTGTTGTTTTGACATGTTGGGAGTAGAGATCATACCAAAAGGTCCAATATTTTACAGGCCACCTTTTATTCGATTTTGTGATCAAATTATTTTATGATACAACTGGAATGTAAATGGATGGTTCATGAGTATTTAGCACCTCATTACCTAGACAAGGTTTACTGATCTCAATATTGAAAATGTCCCATTTTCAAGAATTTTTGTAAATAAAAAAACTGTAGGTTATGATAAGATGAAGCGATCCACAAATTCTTAGATGGATGTTAATAATTTGATAAAAATTATTATGAGCATTCCGTTAACTATAAGTGTAGAATGGGGTTCTCAAACTGGGATATGGCAGAGGTGCCACCATAATAATATTTAATATTTAAGGACAAAATTATCTATTGGATGAATAGACATTATAAAAATAAATAAATTTATATTGATAACTAACAAAATTAAATTAAAACCAAATCAAATAAAAAAAGTTTGAGAACCGCAGGTGTAAAAAATTAAAGGAATGGAACGATAAACTGCACAGTTTTTTTGTCCGTCAGCTGTCTGCCGTACGCCGTACGCGCATTTTCTTCAAAACTACAGGACCGAAACTACATGTAAAATCAGAGGTCACCCGAGGATGATCCTCCTTCATTGACATTACCAGCCGCCTTTTACTTTCATAATGACGGCCGAAAAACCTGCGTTGCTACATACTATAGCTCCTAAACGAATGTACCGATTTCTATGAAACTTCACTAAAGTCATTTTCTTGACGCCCTTTAAATTTGTTTATATAACATACTTCAACGAAAAGAAGCTGGAAAAAAAGTTACGAAGGATGGTAAAATTAAATTCCGAATAACTCAAAAAGTTTACACTTTTTTGTAGATAATGTACATGGTTTTTTAAAAGTTTACGAAATTTCCTAAAAACAAAAAAAAAAAAATCGGACAATTAGGAGCAAAGATATGGTCTCCAGTTTTTTAAAATATGTTCTACTCCAAATGTTATAACCTTTGTTTGGTTTTTAAATTTTGAATGTGTTACTGATGTAATGCTGTTTATTTTAGCATATTACCAATGATTAAAAAAAAAGTTTAATCCAATAATTGGAATAACCTTTTATTTATTTTTCTTTGTAACTAGAAAGGTAATTAATGTTACTTTAGATGTATAATTGTCTGGAAATAATAAACCATTGTGGAATAATTTGCAGCATTTTTAAACTGTAATGTATTAATAATACCAATGTTATTCCTCAGCAAACAGTCAGTATGTTAAAATTTATGATATTGATTGTATAAAATACCTGTGCAATTAAAATATTTATATGAATAACTTATAATTTTCATTGTATAATAACAATTTGCAGCTTTAGGTGATAATTGTTTGTGATTGAATGTACCCAATTTATATTTTTTATTATTATTAAAATAAAGCAATGAATTGGAACATTTCACGGCTTAGCAGAATATCAAACTATGTATAACACATTGTTACCTTTATTTCAAAAAATATATATCAAAGGAATGTTCATAATAAAAATATACTATGCCATTAACCTTATAGATTTTTTAACAATGAAGAAAACATCATCGATCATACTGGAACACTGGGACCCTGATTCGATGGTGTCCATGGCGATGGCTTTCCTTACGCTCTCCTCCATGTAGTGATGCTCCAGGATGAGGTAGGCGCTCAGGAGCTCTTCCATTGTTCGGCAGAGAACGCACGACTTCAACTTCTCTTCTAGAGCAGCGAGCACAGTCGGCTGTTTTTCTTCTTCTGTATCCATCTATAAAATCAATAGAAACACTAATTTATTTTAAGAATTGAAAAATATTTAATTTTAAAAGCTTATAAAAGTAATTTTATTTAATGTGTAATCAGCTTATTCACTCTCATTCTTTCTCAGTTGAGCAACTCAATTATTTCACTGTAGAACTCTTAATAAAATGAACAGTTTTATCTTCTATATAAATATATTAATTTAGATTGAGCATACCTAGTTGAATTTTGTTTAAATTTATTATATTATATTATTCATCCTTAACTTACTAAAAGTCATGATTTGTGTATGCTAGTCTGTCAGAAATCAAATCTATTTTATGGGGCATAAGATCAACTACCATTTATATAACTTTTATGAGATTTAAAGAGATTGTGTAAGTTGGTAACTAGGTCTGGTACCAATTTTATCCACCATTTTCACTTACCTTCCCCTTTATCAATTACTTTACATAGTTAATAATATATTTATTTTTTCCAATTACATTATCGATAGGGATTATTAATCTTTAAACACTGAGGTAAGAAAATAATATTAACACCATTCTTGTACCTCCTAATTATCGACTCAACAATATAATCAAAACTGTTTATTAAAAAATACTACTAACGGAAATTTTCCTTCGGAGAAAATGAAGATAGAGTGAGTAGCGTGAGTGAGCGGTTGCCAATTCGCCAAGGAGCTGGTCGAATTCCTTAGGGTCTCCGCGACTCTTGTGAGTACCGGATTTGATGCTCGATGTTAACTTTTCCAAGCCTCTAGATCTCCACATTTCAGATAATACAGCCTGACTTGCCCTATCACATTCGTCTTGCAACCTGCAGACTAATTTTAAAAGTCTCCCAGGCCCTGAAAATATTATTGACACAGAGTTTTTATATTATAATTTAGAAAAATAGATCTCAATATTTACCATTAAAATTTTGGCAAACAGAAGTATGGTAATAATTTAAGAAAAGATTTCAGTTAATTTACACATTTTAAGGTTTTCTACCTATAAGTGATAATTAATTAAAAACATTACCATAATAGGTTTCGACTAAAGGTTGATGGGTTTCAATAGTCCTTGCAATATCTTCGAACAAATGCGTTAGTAAATCAGAGTAAAGAACTGCTGCACGCTTATCGGTTAAACTTGTCTCAGAAGCTGTCTTCATATGTTTTCTAGACGACGTTTCAACCTATAAGCAAACAATTATTTTAACTAAAATCATAATTACAAAACAGAACAGAAAATACATTTCTTTCTTAACCAAGTTAAGTTATTCAGAACAGAGATTCAAATAACACATGCAATTAAGTATTTCAAGATTTTCTAGAAAATAAGCTACTCATGACAGAACATAACCAAAGCAAATATTATTTAATCGATTTAGCATAAAAGAAACTGAAAAATAATGCCATTACTATGGTTAGAATGTGCAAAAATTTAATATCTAAATATTTCTATTTACATTTTATCTAATTTTTTTTTAAATCTGTCCAAGAGAAAGAGCTATACATGTTATTTAAAAATATTTTTGAATATAAAATAATATGTCTTGATAACAAAAAAATTAATAAAAAAAAAAACATAAATAAATAAATCATTGCAGAAAAGGCATGTTTTTAATGTTATTTTATCCCACAAAAACAAAATGATTGTCACTCATAGCGCACCTTATCAACTAGATAATCAGAAAATTTCTCTATTCCATAATCATGCATGCCAAGTAGGGGAAACAATTTGAAAAATCTTTCGACAGAGTTTGAATCTTGTTTGGCGACAGCGTCATTAAACTTAGAAGTCAATATTTCCTGTAACTTCACAGCTGCTTCCTTTAATAAACTTATTGAATTATTTACTGATTTTGAATCTGAAAAAATAAATATCCCATAAATAATAATAAAATAAATAGTCAAATATAATACTGAAATCTTAATTCTTTGGCACCTGTGCATAGTGTGTTAAGCGCAAAAATCATATTTATGGAGAAACAAGATTGAAAGTTTAGAATTTTCTCAGGTGCAAGTCCAATTTTAGAGTTTCAATCCATGATTAATAAAGGAATATTCATCTCTACAATAGCTGCATAACTCGAGCCCATTAGATACAAAGAAAGAGAGAAAAATTAGCTTTCTGGTGATAACCATAAAAATACACCAAATTGCATTCAACACACTTTCCACAGGGGCCACAGATATAGAATAAAATTTAATAGAATAGATAAAATGATAAAGATGTTTATTCTGGGACTAGGTCTCTTGAGAATAAAAATATTGATCATACAAATTGACAATAAATCTAGCCGAAAGGCCTATTACAATAAATATTAATATATACAAATACAATAAATATATACATGTATAAAGAAAAAATCAAACCTTGGTGAACGTCATCAGCTGTTTTTTCCAGAAGATTTTGATCCATAGCCAAATACCTATGAATATGAGCCGCAGCCTTTTCAAAATCTCCAGAATTCATTGAAGTCTGTACTCCATCACAACATAATTGTAAATCTAAGAGGTCATGAACTCTTTGCTGACATTCAGAAACACGACTCTAAAACAATAAAAAAAACTTCTTTCAGGATAACAATGAATTCATATAGTTTCAGATTCTAAAAAAAAATTAAATATTTACAACTCTTACTTGTCTCTCTCTCAATTCTTACTTGTCAATGCTATTTCAATAACATGCTAAATTAAATTATGACTGTTGGAAATATTAGTGAAAAAACAAAATTATTTATTCACCAATGGGAATATATTCTTTATTTAACGTAATTGTAATAGCTTTACTTAAATTTTCTGAAATTATCCCCAATAAATTCTAATCAAAAGACTTTTTAAAAATAATATTATTCTACAGCTTTCATGGTATAAGCACACAGGTGTCATGTCTTGCTGAAAGGTAGGTCAAGAACTCAACGATCACACTGTACACAGAATCCTGAAAGAAGCCAAGTGCGTCTGAAATATATGGTGTCCAATCTCTAGACAGAACTAAATGATCGAAAGTATTTGTTGATGGACTGAATAGGATCCATTTTCAATGATTTCATAAGATCCCAACCTCAACTGAAAAGGAAACATTGGGATTTTGTAAGTTTCTTGATCTTTTACCAGGGATTCAAGTTATATAATATAAATACAGAGTTATTATCATTAAGGTAGAATATTATTGGTACTACTTTGTGGGTCAATATCACATTAACCATACTGAAGAAGGATTCCAAAAGTAGTCAAGGGTTGACAATCATGTGCATGAGCTTTCTTGCTCAAAGATTACCCTAACTCCTAATGAGCCCTTTACTGATTATTTCATCAGGGTCTAATTAAGCAGAGATCCTTATTAGTAGAAATGGATCATTTTAAATTCATCATCAAATAACATCCATAATTTATTTCTAAGGAAGGTACAGAGATCAGTCGCCTCCTTAGACTTTTAGACATTTCTCTACTACTTTCAGGATTCTATATAAAGTGTAATAGATATGATCTGGCCAACTTGTCAAACAGATGTAACACTAGCGAATTATCAGTTGTTTTTTTTTTTTTAAATAATTTACATGAAAAGAACTCCATATTTACAGTTCACAACTTGGCTTCTGACCCTGAATTGAAGACAAATTATAGTAAAACATTAGTATAAATGAATAAAACTGATAGTACATGGAATACATACACGAGCAATATCCAGCTTCCTGACTTTATGACTAACGTTTTCTGCTAATGTTGATGCAAAAGAAATCATTTCATACAACTGCTTCGCATCAGAATGTATTATTTCCAAATTTGGTAAAACTTTGGTGATACCACGGATTTTCGTTTCCAAATGACAATGCCTTGAGAGGAGTTTTTCTAGCTCGTTTTCAACTTCATTCTGAAAATAGATTAAGCAGAAATAAAACCAGAACGATTTTAGTTGCAAAATTTAAAATATTTTAATTTAAGCACCTCTTTTTGTGTCAATTGACTATATAACTTTCGGTGCTCTTCAGTCAAAAACTCATTTTCAGGAGAAAACTCATCTGAGCTTTCACCACTGTCTTCCTGTGATGTCAAGTCTTGGATATTAAATTTTAACTGGTTTGAGAAATTAAAGTCAGCTATTTGACTGGATTCCATTTTTGAAAATACTTATAATTCTATAATATTCTTAATCCATATGCATTAAATAATTAACATTACCATTAAGTATAGCTATATCAATATAATACAAATTAATTTATACAAAAATAAATAAAACAGAAGGTGACAGTAAAGTTCTGTGGGTTTAAAACACAATGTTTACAACCTGGTTTAAAGAAACCTACTATAGCTCCAAGAGATTTGTTTACTTACTAGATTGAAGGCTTTAAAGTTTAAATATTTTAGGAATAGATTAAATGATTGTTTCAATTTAGTGATTTCAATTTAGATGTATTAATTTCTCTAAATTTTATAATTTTATATGGAACTTATTTATCCTTGATTAAACATTTATAAACTTCCGATTCGATAATTAAAAATATGTATTCATATTTCCATTAAAACTTTCTAGTCCATGTTTTGTTTCATTAATTTCTTGAGAATTTAATTATTATAGTTGATTTCGGTATTGATTCCATCAACTTCTCATTATTTTCTCGTTACCAGAAGGGGACAAATGATTTTATACTCTCATATGTTCGTATGCTGTAGGATATCTACGCAAAGATCTTATAACAGGCTTATTCACTTGCTAAGTGTTTAAATACTTGAAATACTTATATTTTATTTATTTTGGGATTAGAATAAAATGGATAAGGAAAAGAAGAGTTCCCGGTGAGTATGTTATTCAAAAATAGTATATGATAATTTTATATTTATTTTGGAACCTCTCCCGCAGAGAGTATATGTCTCTGATCTCATGGGAAATTGCAAAATAGAATAAAAACTAATGTTCATTTTAAAACGTTTGTCCAGTGCCGGCTTTAGACATTTTTAGGAGGGTAAATTTTTTTAATGAAAAGTTTCAAACCAGTGGACAAAGGGAAACACGGAACAGTAGGAAATGTAATTGCATATGATCTACTATTTATCTACTATATCCCACTTTCGCTTGAACTGTTTTTAAGAAGAGGACAGCAATAAAATATATTGGGAGAAGGCACGGGCGGATCTACGGGGGGTGGGCTTTCGGGCTGAAGCCCTCCTCCCTCCAAAATGAAAAAATATAACCATGTTTTATGGGAAAATTTTTTTTAAAAATACCTCTTAAAGTATTATTGTTCGTGTAATTACATTTAAAAGTACTTAAGGAATAACTTCAACACCATTTCATATAGGTAGTTAGTTTCTTTCTGTTTTTCCAAAGTAATTATCGTTGTTTTTATGAAAAAAAAAGGTTTCGGGCTGAAGCCCCCCCAAAATTAATTCCTGGATCCGCTAGTGGGAGAAAGAGTGGTTCACGCGCCATCGATCTTAAGTGAAGAGATAGACACTCCTACCCTCCCTAAAAAAAATATTTTTATCTATTAAGCTGTTTTATCTTATGTAATATTTGAATTTTATTTCATTCAATATTTCTCTAATATAGTTGCTTTATTAATGGACCTAAATTAATTATTTTAATAAGTTTTTTTATATATTTCTTTAAAATTCTTAACAAATGGCGAGCGATGATCGGCTCCACTGCCCCGGTTGCTCTACCCAAAGACAGAGACTGTGTTTAATTTTTCTGGCTCTAATTTCTAATAAGTATTTGTCAATCGTTTGGTAATTTTAACTAATTGCCATAAGCAATAGATACATTTACAAAAATAAACCATAAAGGATATTTACATGGATCTGTATAGAATTCCATACAAATTTACATTTCAGGAATCAAACATTATTTGATTAAATAATCAGGTACACAGATTTTTATTTTTTATATAAAAGGTGAAAAATTCAAAATGTACTTGGCACAGTCAAGAGGGGGGGGGGGCTTCGAGGGAGCACAAACCATCATGAACCACACTTGTTAAGAATTTTAAAAAGATATATTAAAATATACTAAAATAATTAATTTCAACCTATTAATAAAACAACTGTATATGAGAAATATTGAATGAAACAAAATTTAAATATTATATAATATAAAGCAATATGTCTAGAACCTTCACTGTATACGTATGTGTATACATATCTATACCTTATTATCTAAACTGCAAATATTTTTTCCTTTTTTTTCAGAAAACTAACTGCCGAAGACTATGACCAAGACAGAGAGGATTTTTTTTCAGCTGAAATGATTGAAATGAGTCCGTCTCTGATGGAAATTATGAAAGAAGTTTCAGAAAAACTTCATAGCTACAAGTAATATATATATACACAGTTTATGTTCTAAAACCAATCCACAATAGATGGCAATGTAATTGTTTTTATTGGTATAAAATCTTTGTATTGTATTGTTATTATTAATCAGTGTCGGCCTCAGGGCGGGGATTTAGAGGGAGGCCTGTTAAGAATTAAAATATATACTAAACGAATTAAAATAATTAATTTTAGCCTATTAATAAAGCAACTGTATTAGAGAAATATTGAATGAAATAAAAAGAAAATTATTTTTTTTTAGGAGGGGGAAATGACGTCATTGACCGGGGGCCGCCAAATTTCCGGCACTGGTTTTAATAATTTCTTAAAGTATCTGATTGTGATTCAGAAGGCACACCTAAGCATTTTACAGTACACTACTGAACTATTCATGAATTTCGAAATCCAAAAAAATTTTTTTATATAATAAATAAATATATATATTTTTTTCTGTTCATTTATCCTAATTTTGGTGTCTTGAAGTTTTATTTTTTACATAAATTAGGCCAATTATCACCACAATTTTATTGATACTCATTAACTTCGACGTTTCGACCACACTAAGGGTCGGTCATTTTCAAGTCTTGAAAATGACCCTTAGAATGGTCGAAACGTCGAAGTTAATGCGTATCAATAAAATGTTGGTAATTATTGGTCTAATCTATGTGAAAAAATAAATATATATATATATTATTTAATTAATTTATATATTATTTTACTAGACACCTAACTCCAACGTCACATCGATCAACACACAGCAAGACCCCGGAATCCCATGTCAGGTTTTCACCCACTGAAGACTCAAGCACCGATCGACCTCACACTTCGAGGTGAAGACATTTATTTATTCTAAATATTTATTTTAGATTTAATTTTAATATTTAGAATAATGATTAGGTTAGTTCTTTTGTTTATATACATTTATTTTATTTTATTGTATTTATTTTTATTTTATTTTATTGTATTTATTATTATTAAGTTTCTGTATTATTTTTTTTTTTAATTGTAAATAGAGTGTGAGTGTGCTTTCTCTGAACACTATTATAAATGTCCTTGATGTGACAGAATGTAATATTTCTAAATAAATAAATAAACAAAAAAGAATAATGAAATCAATTTTTAAAAATAATTAAATTTAATATTCAAACATAAATTAAAGAATGTTGAAGAGTTTACTATGGAACTTAAAGCCATTTCGTAAAGTAGCGATTATACATTATAAAAATTTCTTTATGTTATCAAAGAATATTGGGATATAAGATAGTCTGTTTGAAAACACAAACGCTCTTCTGGTAACATTCAAGGAAAGTAAAGAGACAGCTATGTATTGAACATAGCAAATAGTCTTTTAAAATTATTATGAAGTGCTGAAAACAAAGTTAAAATATGCTGACACCAAAGACAGCGTCAATGTGGAGGAAGAGCAAATAAGGACAAAGGGCTGGGAAAGGGGTTGTCTTAGAGTAACTGGTAACTAGTAACTGATTTAAGTAACTGGTTCTCCTTAGGTTGTGGCCAGTTAAAATAATTTATACCCGCCGAAGTTAAGAACCAATAAAAACCACACTTGCCCCACCCTGGATATTTGTATAAAAAGCAAGAACTAAGAAATGGATGTCTTATGTCTTTTTTGGGCCGTGAGGAATTAAGAGGCAGCTTGGCCCTACATAGACCGTGGAGATGGATGTCTTGGCAGAGCTTGGACATAGGCTTGACGAGATGACCTCGGGCCAATAGATGCAGTGATGGAACTAACTACCAACACAACCTAACCACACCATATGTAGAAACATAGCTAAGTTTTTGTTCCCAATAATAGATTTACCATTGCTAAAATATTTCATGGCATAATTCTCAAAACAGCTTATCAGAAATCATACCTTCACAGTAATTTATTTTTTTATTTATTATTTAATATTTCTGGATAATTATCCTAAATAATCATCCAGTAGCATCCTGAGTAATGTTTAACCCAAAACATGAGAACTTTAGTGTCATCCCGTTTGTGGGGATAAAACATAGCTGGTTGTGCCATGGAAGGTTGGGAAGGTTTAAATTTCCCGCGTTACGGCGAGTGGTGGGGGCAGATCTAAAAGATAACACTTAAGCTTTGAGAGCGACTGGTTCTCTCGAGGCTACTTCTTGAACAGCATTCATCCAGCAAGGACCAACGGCGGATGGCCCTCCTAGGTAAAAAAGATGTAGGCTGGCATACAGACGGTAAGCTGTTTTTTTTACACAATCATTAACCTACCAATCCCTCAAGATACAGTCTACTGCTTAAAAACTAGAATGTAGCCTTATTGAAACTCATGAGGGTTATTTCACCATAATTGGAAAAGTTGCCTAAACAATAGCAATAGATTATTAATGGCTCTAAAAGTAAATATAATACAACCTTGAAAACTATAGATGGGAAGAACTATGTTGTTGGAATAGGTCTCGTTATTTATTATGTTATATTTTATAATTTAAGAAGAGATTAAGGTTAGACTGAAAGCGGAAATGCTTGTTATTTTTCTGTGACAAAACTACTTAGTTCGCACCTCTTATCCCGGAACTTAAAAATTAGAATCTATAAAACAATTATCTTGCCTAAAGTTCTTTATGGATGCGAAACTTGGCCGCTTACATTAAGGGATAAGCAGCGTCTTAAGGTTTTTGAAAATAAAGTATTGCGTAGAATATTCGGATCGAAGAAGGATGAGTTAACCGGAGAGTTCAGACGGTTACACAACGCCAAATTGCGTGAACTGTATCCAGGTAATATAATTGAGGTAATTTCATCGCGGCGAATCAAATGGGCTTGTAAAGTTGTTGGACTTTGTAACGAGAGAATTCCTGAAAGGTTAATATTTGCTGTGCCGAATGGTAAAAGTTCGAGGGGTAGACCGAAGCGAAGGTGGGAAGATTAAAGCCGATCTGAAGAGACTGGTTTTGGACGGCGAACGGTGGAGGGAGGTGTGTAATATGCGATTGGTGGTGTCGGCATCGAACCTTCGGGTTCGCTAAGCCTTTTATTATTATTATTAAAAATTTATAATATATACCATATATTACGGTAAAGTCCAGTTCCATTCTTCTTCTTTTCTTTTTTTTTTTCCCATTAAGTTATATTTATAATAGATGTACCCTCTATCATGTTCTCTAAATAAAGACATAAAATTAAATGATTATTATAGGTCGCTTACTCCAACAAAGTATCGTAGTAAGTCGATTTTAAAGAATGAAAGCGCACCTTCTGTTAAAGACAAAAGCTCTACTTCTCGAAAAACGCACTCTTCGCCGGAATCGGAAACATCCGGAACCTACGAAGAAGAAGAACAAACCTCGAAAGAATCATCGACAGAATTAACATCGAAAGAAACAGTGAGCTCCAAAATCAGGTAATGTATTTATAATTGAACAGAATAGAAAATAATTTTATTCTGCTGAAAAGTCCCTTTAGAATTACAGAATAGTTCAAAATCAAAATATTACACCTGGCCTAAATAAAAAGAAAGAGAAAAAACTAAAGGAAACATTAGTTAAACATGCTATATTTTTTCTGTCCCACTACAACCCATGAAGGTTCTTGGATTCAGTACTATTTTAGGGAAAGCACTGTTTCTTGGTCTGCGGTGGTGGAAGGAAGTGATTTGACCGAGATCACGTTCAACCGCTAGGTTTTTCCCCTTAATTAATTATTTTAATTATGGTTACCCACTTAATAGTGGATGGGTGTGCCCTAGGAGGATCTACCTACCCAGGGTCGCTCCACGGCCAATGAAACAGAATAAATAATTTTTCTGCCATGAGCCGGGATTCGAACCTGGGACCTTTAGCATTGGAAGCTCAGTGCCCTACCACTGAGCTTCCAATGCTTAGTAACATACTAACTACTAACATACTATTACTATACTAAACATATTATATACAAATCTACTAACATACTATACTAAACAAAAAAATCTATTACAAAACATTTGAAACTATGACAAGACACTTAAAACTATGTACAGTGGTAAAACATAAATATAATGTTTTAGAAAAAAAGATAAAGAAAAATAAAAAATACATTAAATTCTTCTTTAAAATAAACTATGTGTTTCTACAGAAAAAAAAGAAAGAAAGCCGTATCTGATAGTAAAAATTGTCTGATTATTTAAATGATGAATTATATGTAAACAAATTTGTTATTATTTTTTTTTTTTTGACCTCCCAGAAACTTTATTTAAACTAATTACAATATACAGCTTACTATATATGTATGTATGTGTATATGTATATACACAATATTCATTGAACCTTTGCTTACCCAAAGGTATTTTATGATAAGGGATACATTATTATGAAAATCATCATGAATAATATGTAATTAGATCATAAAAGGTTAGCGGTTATCTGAACGTTTTTGGAAAAGGAGGGTTTTAAATGTAGATATGGAGGGAGAATGCCGAATTTTGATAGGAAAGGAATTTCAGTAATCAACAGAGCGAGCAATAAAGCAGTTTTGGAATGAGGCAGATCTGTGAGAAGGGATGTAAAGTTCGGAAGGTCAAGATCTTGTGGAAAGGGAATGGACTGAGGACTTGAATTAGAGAAGATTTTGGGCGTAAGAAGGACGATGATTGTTGATGATTTGATAGAGGAACGTACGTAGGAAATATTGTCTTCGAATGGAGGGGAAGAGCCACCTTAACTCAATGTGAGAAACATGGGAGTATCTCGTGGCCCCAATTAAAAATCTTACGTATATGTTCATTAGTCTTTTCAGACTATTTAAAGGACATATTGAACATAACCTTGATTATTTTGATATGTCATTTTTAAAATCCTGAATGGTTAAAGTATCATTTCATTTACCGTAGTTTTGATCCCACGTAAAACACTATAATTCCTATATGAGAAGGAGTTAATTGGGGGGTTCGGTCAAATAAATACTAAATTAAAATATCGTATTTATTTAATTTTTGCCGACGTTTCGACCCACTTCGCAGGTCGTCTTCAGGGCGTAGGATGTAGCACTGCGGGAGGCAGTTGAAACAATGCAGGTAGTTAAAACACTATAATTACTATACTTATTCTTCTCAGTAACAAGAATATTTATTAGAGCAGGGGTTATCAAAAATGTTTTTGGCGCAGCTCTCAAGTCGGACTCAAAACGCTTAATTCTTTTAGGACTAAACAAATTTCATAGCACACCTTTCGGACAAAAAAAAAGAAAAACCTGAAAATATTTAAAAGGTTGATAGTAGACAATGGAGATCTACAAAAAAGAAGTACATTTAAACAATTTCCCAATTTTCAGCAGAAAAGTAGGAAATTTAAGATTTGTGTTTTTTCGATCGAGTCACGTTTTTTTGTTGAATAGAAATCGATAACTTAAAAAGTATTTGATTAAAGTTATTAATAAATTGCTCCATAGTAAACTAGACAAAATTTACTTTAAACTGAAGCAGAGTTTGTCATTGTTAAAATTATTTATAGAGAACTATTTAGCGGACGAACACAGCTAAGTTCTGTTTTTAAAAAAAGTCATAAATTATTAGTAACTTTTTTTTTATCACTCTTCAGCTATATTACAGATACCCAAGTTTTTAGAAAAACTTTCTCGTTTAATAAGCTTTAAGTACATATTAATTAAGTTGAAATTTATTAGAAAAAATGTAGAGATTCACCTCAATTTAAAAAAAAAATGATGTGTTTTTTTATCCAGTCACCTAAAATTATCCGTGTTTTAAACAAAACTGATAACAATTAAGTGTTGCCAAGCTTTTATTTGTTGTTTTTCCGTGTCATGGGATGTATAATAACATAATGCCTAAAAATACAATTTTTAAAAATACATTAACTCCTTTTTCGTTTGGAACCGGTCCATGCATCGAATTAACTTTTTTGTTGGAAATTTTTCTTAATGGCCCCCTTCAGAGATTAGCCATTAAGAACTGAAACTGTATGTTGTTTGAAAACCTAAAAATAGTCTTATATATATATATATACATATATATACATATATATATATATATATATATATATATATATATATATATATATATATATATATATATAGATAGATAGATAGATAGATAGATAGATAGATAGATAGATAGATAGATAGATAGATAGATAGATAGATATAAATGTTTTTTTTTTTTTGTTTTTTTTTTTGCTAAATCGGAGAAACAATTTATTAATCGTTTGCTATTGCAAGCATTACTAACCATTTCTTCGACTAATTTTTATTCAATTTCTCCGTTACGGAAGAGTATGTTTTGAAAATAAAGGAAATTTTTTCCGTTTTTGATAGAAACTGACATTTAGATTTCTAAAGGATTTGCCCTAATCGAACGCAAAAAAAAATCTCATTTTAGAAGGTATTGAGTTGAAGCAAAAAGAGAATGTACTTTGCAGTTTAACGACTTTTGCAAATTTAAGTAAAAATCAATTTGTCAATGATACCAATAATAAAAGATATTTAAGGATATTATTTTATTTCATTTATTTATGTTCAAATTGCTTCGACTCTTCTTAATTGAATATTTAATAATTAATTACAGAGATAAGTCTATCGTATTCGAAGATAGGAGGCCACCGGCAGAAGGAGAAGCATGTAAGGAGGAATTTATGGAAGAACTCGTAGATAGTGATGATAAACTTCCATCAAAAACGATCAAAAATAAAAAGGAGAGAAAGAGAAGAAAATGTGGTAATTAAAAAAAAATACAAACATATTGTATTAGAAATATACAATCTAGATGTATTCAATAAATATCTTTTTATACTATTTCTCTGTTAATAATGGTTAGGGTTTATGAAACAAACAGACAATACAGAAACGTTTATTGCGGAAGAACACTACAAACATAGAAGCCATATCGAGGGAGTATACATTGTTGTGATCATTGATGTCACATATGACAGTGTTGCCAGTAACAGAGTTGTAGGTAGAATATACAATAACAAATAACATCAATTAATTAATCCTAACACACTCCCTCGATTGAAGCTTTACATAATTGAGCAATTTATATAACTAAAGATTCAATCGCAATGTTTCTTTGTTGGTACACCATATTTTTGTCAATTCTTCATCAGATCCAATGATTGAGCCCTAATTTTGAAAATCTTTTCTTTCACGTTGGGAAAATAGTCACATTCCTCCAAAATTTCTGAAAAAAAGTGTTTTAAATGAAAAGAAACTTTATTTGCGAATAAATCAAAAAGTGTACAATTTTTTTTGTTGACTGCGTACATGATTATTTGAAAGAGTACTGAAGTCACTACAAAACAAAATATATAGAACCCCTGATCGGTAAGAAAGTCATGTGAATGGACACACCAGATTTTTATTTATAAGAGCCTATCGCTATCTTGATATAACACGGACTCTGGCAACATTATATTCATATGCGGTTTTCATAAATGCTATTGTTGGTATTATTTAATATTTAATTGTATACATTGGGATCGAGGTTTGAGGCTCTAATAAACCATCAAATTCCTCTCGTATCCAATCCATACAATCCGAAATCCTTCGTAAAATCTTCAATGCTCCCTACTTTATCACAAATAAAATCATCCATAACAACCTGAAAACCCTCCGAGGCGTCTGAAAAGAAGATGACCTCGGGACCTTCTAATATAGAAATATAATTGGAGTGCTACCAATGGGTAGTTTCTCTTCAGGTTGTACATGTCATATTACTTATTTCATATATACTAGTTGCATTTATCATTTAATTCAGTTGCAAATTTCAATAATAAAAAAAAAAGTATAGATTACAGCAATATAAAAATTAAAATACCCACAATGGAATGTAAATAAATATAGCATCTATAATTTTTACTTTCACTTCTCCTTTGTCTGAAAATACTTATTAAGAAGAGGAGGATGGTAAGTGAAAGTCGTGTGATGCACGCACCAGATTTTGTTTACTTTTCCCCCAATATTTCACCGACTCCTTTATGATGTTAGATGTCATCCTAGTCCCACCATATTAGATTGAATGTTGAGAAAAATAAAAAATATATATACTCACATTCTGTATAAATACTTCAAATTTATATACAATGGCCCATCGAACCGTGGTATTCGACAGATATTTCATTATCCCTATGGAATTCGATCTCATCACACATCCGTCGCTTCAATACCCTCCCCACATTTAAATACCTCAATTTAATTACCTCATTTAAACACATCCTATCTGTCCAGTTCCGGAAAAAATGTAACTAGATTTGTTTCTAAATTATTTGTTCGTTTTGTATTTATTATTATTTCATAATTATAAAATCTTTTTCTATTTTATAATAGAATAGAATAGAATAGAAAAATAATTTTATTCTGGGACGAAGTCCCTTCAGAATAACAAAAAAAGTACAGAAATTAAAATTGCATATCTGGCCAGATGAAAACAAACATAAAAAGTTAAGATAAAGATAAATCAGTAAAAAAAAAAAATATATTAGTTATACATACTATATACAAAAAAAAAAATTTATATATACAAAACTCTTGAAACCATACTAAGATACTTAAAACTATGCACAATGTTAAAATATAAATAAACCCTTTTAGAAAAAAAAAAAAATACAGAAAAAATAAATGTAAATTCTTCTTAACAGTAAAATCTGTGTTTATGTTGAAAAAAAAAAAAAAAAAAGAAAGTCGAATGTATAATAAGTATTTAGGTTATGAACTATATGTGAATATGTTATTATAAATAATTTTAGAATAATATTAGAATTTACGTTATTATTTTTTATTATAAATAGATATATCGCAGGTTAAATGGAGAATGTATTATTATATATCTTAATGATGTAGAGATGGTTGACCGTTGATATAATATGAGAAGGAGTTAATTGAGGGGGCTGTCAAATAAATGATGACGACCTGCATTCTGAAGACCTGAAGACGACCTGCAAAGTGGGTCAAAACGTCTTCTAAAATTAAAATAATTACTATATTTTAATTTAGTATTTATTTGACCGCACCCCCCGATTAACTCTTTCTCATATTATATCAACGGTCAACCATCTCTACATCATTATAAATGCATTACCACGGGGTCAACAACAAGATACAAACCCACAATCCATACGCCGCAGTTCCAGACTTTTTTTTGTCCAACGTTTTGTATCTTTTGTAGCCCTGAAGACGACCTGGAAAGTTGGTCGAAACTTCGGCAAAAATTAAAATAATTACTATATTTTAATTTAGTATTTATTTGACCGCACCCCCCGATTAACTCCTTCTCATATTATATATCTTATTTATTAACTGATTAATCTATCTATATTATATAAATATATATTGTTTTTTCTTTTTTTAGCGTTTTGGTATACTTCAGAAATGTTTAGAGAAACAGATAGAGAACAATTTATATTTCTTTCCATTCAAGAATTTATTATATATCTCATTTTCTTAGCTTCAGTTTCGATAGGTAAGTTATAATTAGTATACAAGCCTCACTTTAAGATGATTATATAAAATCATTCGTTATTATTATTATTTTAGTCGTCTTCGGATCTTTTACCGCGATAATGTATTACTACAGCATCGTACTCTCTGACGTGTTCACGAGGACAAAGTTCAAGACGGCGCAAGGGCTGGCGATAGCTTATACAGAAGTGAGAACGATACAACAATACTGGGCGGTTAGTATAATTTTTTTTTTTTAAACTTCATTAATATCATATCTCACATCCAGAATGAATGTGGTACAAATAATAAAATATGTTTTAGAAAGCTTTAGGCTCTGTAGGATGATAGTATGACCAGATTAACAATAATAGTTAATATAATTCTATTGTCATACGTTAGATATAAAAAGAGGAATATATAATATAAAAAAATTAAATATAATATAAGAAACTTGCACCACAAACAAAATAAAATGCTCCTTTAATATTAACTTAATTATAAACAGAATATGTTCTAACGAGTGTTACTAACGGGAAGATGTAAAAAAAAAAGGCAAAATAATTAAAAGTAATAACCTAAGTCCAGTTCACTAGCAGATACAATTGGCTATTATATCTCGATTTAGGGGTGTTGTAGAACAATTTAGATATCAATTTCTCTACTCCGACAACTAGATGGTTGAGAATGATAGTGAACGAGAAAATATCCAAAATTATCCCTGGTAGACTAGGTACAAAATACGAGATTATCCCCGGTATACTAGGTCCAAAATGCGAGGTTACCCCCGGTATACTTGGTCTAAAATACTAAATTATCCCTGGTAGACTAGTTCCAAAATACGAGATTATCCCTGGTAGATTTGGTCCAAAATATGAGATTAACCCTGATAGATTTGATCCAAAGTACGAGATTATCCCCGGTATATTAGGTCCAAAATGCGAGGTTATCCCCGGTATACTTGGTCTAAAATACTAAATTATCCCTGGTAGACTAGTTCCAAAATACGAGATTATCCCTGGTAGATTTGGTCCAGAATATGAGATTAACCCTGATAGATTTGGTCCAAAATACGAGATTATCCACGGTAGACTTGGTTCAAAATACGAGATTATTTCTGGTAAATTTGGTCCAAAATACGAGATTATCTCTGGTAGATTTGGTCCAAAATACGAGATTATTCCTGGTAGATTTGGTCCAAAATACGAGATTATCTCTGGTAGATTTGGTCCAAAATACGAGGTTATTCCTGGTAGATTTGGTCCAAAATATGAGATTATCCTTGATATATTTGGTCCGAAATACGAGGTTATCCCCGGTATACTTGGTCCAAAATACGAGATTATTTCTGGTAAATTTGGTCCAAAATATGAGATTATCTCCGATACGATACGACAGAAAGCCTCTCCTTGGATTTTTCAAGCGATTTTCTTTTGTATTCCCTATCGCATTACGGCGTCACAAAATTAGTCCGCTACGAGAGAACGAAGACAAGTGACTTCACAGGCATCTGTTACATAAATAACTGTTACAATGGGTTGCCATGTTACAATGGCTATCACGAACTGTGATTTTTTGAATTCGATTTAAAACCGACTCGTCTAGGTGCGACATCAAGATATCCTGTTATCTACCCATAGCATCGCTGTATAAAGTTCACCTAAAAAAATATAAATAAAAAGAAACTGGGGCTTCCCCCTCAACTTAGATTAATTCCATTCCTTTGTTTTAGATACGTATTAGGATGTCATGTAGTTAAGTGATTTTTTTTTCTGTCCTGATGATTGGCGAAACATTGACGCTTTAGTTTTGTTTTACCTACATTTTAGAAACACAAGACAGTGTAGTTGCATTTTTCCAATTATAACTTATCACGTAAATATATTTATTTTTTACTGTTGCTGTTACAGAACGTGAACATGTTTTGCTGCCTTCTCCAACTCGAGCTATTTTGGGCTATTTCTTTCCTGTTTTCTGCGTGCAACTCTATTGAATCTTTTTTGATTCGATCAAGTCCTCTGATTCAATCTCTTACCTACTATTGCGGCATCCATCATTGTGTTGAGCAGGAAACCTCAATAGTTGGATTGCTTCGAGCTACACTCGACCTCCTTCCCTTCGTATCATGAGATATTCATTGACTTTAAGTTAGTGAGATATTCAGTTACTTTAAGCAGTTCTTTATTGGTCATTCTCCTCCATACGTTAGTTCTGTCATCTCAAACCGTTACGGTTATCATGCGGAGGATTTTCATCTCAAATATTTCAATACTTCTTTCTTGGATGCTGGATAGTGTTCAGCTCTCGCAGGCGTATATTAGAACAGGCTTTATAATAGAATTGTACATCCTTTATTTCAGAAGTTTCGAGATTTTTCATGGTTTCGGTTCCTCTCAAAGAGAGAAAAAAGCTCTGTTTGCGCTTGTTATTCTTTTTTTTAACATAAAATTTGTAGTTTTACGCTGAAATGAATAAAATGTGTATATGTTTATATAAATCATCTTCCTTTCACTACTAGAACTATATGAGAATTTTAGAAATGTACCATTTTCATTCTGGATATTCTTTATGTATAATAAAACTCAAAACGATAGGCCTATGTTGTAGTATTTACGGAACGCGTTCATCAATACGTTGTTCTTCAAATACCTGGAAGACCAGTTGGCTGGTAATACACTCACCATGGAGGAGAGCAAATTGGTTCTGTTGCAGAATATTTTAGTTGGTGTACCAAGGTTGAGGCAGGTAAATGCCAACACGAATTATGAAGTGATTAAAGAGATGGATATTTGTTATTGATTAGCTTTGAAATGTTTAGCTAAGGGTGAGACCGGATTCCTGTAAGGTGCCTCAGGATTTTGCTGGAGCCTTTCGTTCATGTTACGGTTATTATAGACCGTATAATGAAGATAGGACATCTTTCGGCTTGAAGACTGGGTCTGAGTGAGTAGTGTTTGAAAACGTTCTATATTAATAAATTATTGATATGAATTAAAGTCTAAAAGAAAAAAAATACCAGGATAAGTTCCTTCACCACTTCTAGTGGCTACATAATTGCCTATATTTCAAGGCAACTGATTTGTCACACACCTAAGCGAACTCAGTGGACGACATTTGATAAATTCGGTACTGATGCATCTATATATATACGCTTACAACTCCTGAAAATTTCAACTAGTCATATTAAGTGCAGTATTTTATGTTCAGTCACTAGCAGGATTTAATTTTGGAGGCTTCAGCCCGAAAGCTCGCATTTGAGGATTCTTCGGGGTGCCAAATACGAATCTCAACTATATTTCTTCTTAAAAAAAATGTTTGAGATATTTGTAAATAACAATTTTTCTATTTCATTCATAACTTTCTTCACGGAAAATACAATGTATAAAAATAAAGTTTGAAAAATGAAATACAACACCTAGGAATACAAATTTAAAAAATACAACACCGCGGAATACAAATACAAAAACACAACCCGAGGAATAAAAATTCAAAAAATTCAACACCGAGGAATACAAATTCAAAAAATACAACGCCGAGGTAGACAAGTTTAAAAAATTCAAAACCGAGGGATACAAATTCAAAAAATACAATACCGAGGGATAGAAATTTAAAAAATACAATACCGAGGAATACAAATTCAAAAAATACAATACCGAGGGATAGAAATTAATAAAATACAATACCGAGGAATACAAATTAAAAAAATACAATGCCGAGGGATAGAAATTAATAAAATACAATACCGAGGAATACAAATTCCTTTAAATTTGTATTCCTAGGTGTTGTATTTTTTGAATTTGTATTCCTCGGTATTGTATTTTTTAAACTTGTATTCATCGGCAATGTATTTTTAAATTTGTATTCCTCGTTTCTATTCCTCGGTGTTGTATTTTTTTAATTTGTATTCCTAGGTGTTGTATTTTTTTAATTTGTATTCCTCAGTGTTGTATTTTATTAATGTCTATCCCTCGGTATTGTATTTTTTGAATTTGTATTCCTCGGTATTGTATTTTTTGAATTTGTATTCCTCGGTATTGTATTTTTTAAATTTGTATCCCTCGGTATTGTATTTTTTAAATTTGTATCCCTCGGTATTGTATTTTTTGAATTTGTATCCCTCGGTATTGTATTTTTTTAATTTGTATTCCTCGGTGTTGTATTTTTTAAATTTGTCTTCCTAGGTGTTGTATTTTTTTAATTTGTATTCCTCGGTATTGTATTTTTTAAACTTGTATTCATCGGCATTGTATTTTTAAATTTGTATTCCTCGTTTCTATTCCTCGGTGTTGTATTTTTTAAATTTGTATTCCTAGGTGTTGTATTTTTTTAATTTGTATTCCTCAGTGTTGTATTTTATTAATTTCTATCCCTCGGTATTGTATTTTTTTGGATTTGTATTCCTCGGTATTGTGTTTTTTGAATTTGTATTCCTCGGTATTGTATCTTTTAAATTTGTAACCCTCGGTATTGTATTGTTTAAATTTCTATACCTCGGTGTTGTATTTTTTTAATTTGTATTCCTCGTTTCTATTCCTCGGTGTTGTATTTTTTAAATTTGTCTTCCTAGGTGTTGTATTTTTTGAATTTGTATTCCTCGGTATTATATTTTTTAAATTTGTATCCCTCGGTATTGTATTTTTTAAATTTGTATCCCTCGGTATTGTATTTTTTGAATTTGTATTCCTCGGTATTGTATTTTTTAAACTTGTATTCCTCGGTATTGTATTTTTTAAACTTGTATTTCTTCTCATTTTATTTTTTTAATTTGTATTCCTCGTTTCTATTCCTCGGTGTTGTGGATAGAAATTAATAAAATACAATACCGAGGGATACAAGTTTAAAAAATACAATACCGAGGAATACAAATTAAAAAAATACAATACCGAGGGATACAAATTTAAAAAATACAATACCGAGGGATACAAATTTAAAAAATATAATACCGAGGAATACAAATTCAAAAAATACAACACCTAGGAAGACAAATTTAAAAAATACAACACCGAGGAATAGAAATTTAAACAATACAATACCGAGGGTTACAAATTTAAAAAATACAATACCGAGGAATACAAATTCAAAAAATACAATAAAGAGGAATACAAATCCAAAAAATACAATACCGAGGGATAGAAATTAATAAAATACAATACCGAGGGATACAAATTCAAAAAATACAACACCTAGGAAGACAAATTTAAAAAATACAACACCGAGGAATACAAATTAAAAAAATACCACACCGATGTATACAAATTTAAAAAATACAACACCGAGGAATACAAACTCAAAAAATACAACACCGAGGAATACAAATTAAAAAAATACCACACCGATGTATACAAATTAAAAAAATACAACACCGAGGAATACAAATTTAAAAAATACAACACCGAGGGATAGAAATTAATAAAATACAATACCGAGGAATACAAATTAAAAAAATACAATGCCGAGGGATAGAAATTAATAAAATACAATACCGAGGAATACAAATTCAAAAAATACAATACCGAGGAATAGAAATTTAAAAAATACAATACCGAGGAATACAAATTTAAAAAATACAATGCCGAGGGATAGAAATTAATAAAATACAATACCGAGGGATACAAGTTTAAAAAATACAATACCGAGGAATACAAATTAAAAAAATACAACACCTAGGAATACAGATTTAAAAAATACAACACCGAGGAATACAAATTCAAAAAATACAACACCTAGGAATACAAATTTAAAAAATACAATACCGAGGGATAGAAATTAATAAAATACAACACCGAGGAATAAAAATTCAAAAAATACAACACCTAGGAATACAAATTTAAAAAATACAACACCGCGGAATACAAATACAAAAACCACAACCCGAGGAATACAAATTCAAAAAATACAACACCGAGGAATAGAAATTAATAAAATACAACACCGAGGAATACAAATTCAAAAAATACAACACCTAGGAATACAAATTTAAAAAATACAATACCGAGGAATAGAAATTTAAAAAATACAATACCGAGGAATACAAATTTAAAAAATACAATGCCGAGGGATAGAAATTAATAAAATACAATACCGAGGTATACAAGTTTAAAAAATACAATACCGAGGGATACAAAATTAAAAAAATATAATACCGGGAATACAAATTTATAAAATACAACACCTAGGAATACAAATTTAAAAAATACAATACCGAGGAATACATATTAAAAAAATACAATACTGAGGGATACAAGTTTAAAAAATACAACACCGAGGAATACAAATTTAAAAAATACAACACCGAGGAATAGAAACGAGGAATACAAATTAAAAAAATACAATACCGGGGATTACGTATTAAAAAAATACAACACTGAGGAATACAAATTTAAAAAATACAACACCGAGGAATACAAATTCAAAAAATACAACACCGAGGAATACAAATTCAAAAAATACAACACCGAGAAATACAAACTCAAAAAATACAATACCGAGGAATACATATTAAAAAAATACAATACTGAGGGATACAAGTTTAAAAAATACAACACCTAGGAATACAAATTTAAAAAATACAACACCGAGGAATACAAATTCAAAAAATACCACACCGATGTATACAAATTCAAAAAATACAACACCGAGGAATACAAATTCAAAAAATACAACACCGAGGTAGACAAGTTTAAAAAATTCAAAACCGAGGGATACAAATTCAAAAAATACAATACCGAGGGATAGAAATTTAAAAAATACAATACCGAGGAATACAAATTCAAAAAATACAATACCGAGGGATAGAAATTAATAAAATACAATACCGAGGAATACAAATTAAAAAAATACAATGCCGAGGGATAGAAATTAATAAAATACAATACCGAGGAATACAAATTCCTTTAAATTTGTATTCCTAGGTGTTGTATTTTTTGAATTTGTATTCCTCGGTATTGTATTTTTTAAACTTGTATTCATCGGCAATGTATTTTTAAATTTGTATTCCTCGTTTCTATTCCTCGGTGTTGTATTTTTTTAATTTGTATTCCTAGGTGTTGTATTTTTTTAATTTGTATTCCTCAGTGTTGTATTTTATTAATGTCTATCCCTCGGTATTGTATTTTTTGAATTTGTATTCCTCGGTATTGTATTTTTTGAATTTGTATTCCTCGGTATTGTATTTTTTAAATTTGTATCCCTCGGTATTGTATTTTTTAAATTTGTATCCCTCGGTATTGTATTTTTTGAATTTGTATCCCTCGGTATTGTATTTTTTTAATTTGTATTCCTCGGTGTTGTATTTTTTAAATTTGTCTTCCTAGGTGTTGTATTTTTTTAATTTGTATTCCTCGGTATTGTATTTTTTAAACTTGTATTCATCGGCATTGTATTTTTAAATTTGTATTCCTCGTTTCTATTCCTCGGTGTTGTATTTTTTAAATTTGTATTCCTAGGTGTTGTATTTTTTTAATTTGTATTCCTCAGTGTTGTATTTTATTAATTTCTATCCCTCGGTATTGTATTTTTTTGGATTTGTATTCCTCGGTATTGTGTTTTTTGAATTTGTATTCCTCGGTATTGTATCTTTTAAATTTGTAACCCTCGGTATTGTATTGTTTAAATTTCTATACCTCGGTGTTGTATTTTTTTAATTTGTATTCCTCGTTTCTATTCCTCGGTGTTGTATTTTTTAAATTTGTCTTCCTAGGTGTTGTATTTTTTGAATTTGTATTCCTCGGTATTATATTTTTTAAATTTGTATCCCTCGGTATTGTATTTTTTAAATTTGTATCCCTCGGTATTGTATTTTTTGAATTTGTATTCCTCGGTATTGTATTTTTTAAACTTGTATTCCTCGGTATTGTATTTTTTAAACTTGTATTTCTTCTCATTTTATTTTTTTAATTTGTATTCCTCGTTTCTATTCCTCGGTGTTGTGGATAGAAATTAATAAAATACAATACCGAGGGATACAAGTTTAAAAAATACAATACCGAGGAATACAAATTAAAAAAATACAATACCGAGGGATACAAATTTAAAAAATACAATACCGAGGGATACAAATTTAAAAAATATAATACCGAGGAATACAAATTCAAAAAATACAACACCTAGGAAGACAAATTTAAAAAATACAACACCGAGGAATAGAAATTTAAACAATACAATACCGAGGGTTACAAATTTAAAAAATACAATACCGAGGAATACAAATTCAAAAAATACAATAAAGAGGAATACAAATCCAAAAAATACAATACCGAGGGATAGAAATTAATAAAATACAATACCGAGGGATACAAATTCAAAAAATACAACACCTAGGAAGACAAATTTAAAAAATACAACACCGAGGAATACAAATTAAAAAAATACCACACCGATGTATACAAATTTAAAAAATACAACACCGAGGAATACAAACTCAAAAAATACAACACCGAGGAATACAAATTAAAAAAATACCACACCGATGTATACAAATTAAAAAAATACAACACCGAGGAATACAAATTTAAAAAATACAACACCGAGGGATAGAAATTAATAAAATACAATACCGAGGAATACAAATTAAAAAAATACAATGCCGAGGGATAGAAATTAATAAAATACAATACCGAGGAATACAAATTCAAAAAATACAATACCGAGGAATAGAAATTTAAAAAATACAATACCGAGGAATACAAATTTAAAAAATACAATGCCGAGGGATAGAAATTAATAAAATACAATACCGAGGGATACAAGTTTAAAAAATACAATACCGAGGAATACAAATTAAAAAAATACAACACCTAGGAATACAGATTTAAAAAATACAACACCGAGGAATACAAATTCAAAAAATACAACACCTAGGAATACAAATTTAAAAAATACAATACCGAGGGATAGAAATTAATAAAATACAACACCGAGGAATAAAAATTCAAAAAATACAACACCTAGGAATACAAATTTAAAAAATACAACACCGCGGAATACAAATACAAAAACCACAACCCGAGGAATACAAATTCAAAAAATACAACACCGAGGAATAGAAATTAATAAAATACAACACCGAGGAATACAAATTCAAAAAATACAACACCTAGGAATACAAATTTAAAAAATACAATACCGAGGAATAGAAATTTAAAAAATACAATACCGAGGAATACAAATTTAAAAAATACAATGCCGAGGGATAGAAATTAATAAAATACAATACCGAGGTATACAAGTTTAAAAAATACAATACCGAGGGATACAAAATTAAAAAAATATAATACCGGGAATACAAATTTATAAAATACAACACCTAGGAATACAAATTTAAAAAATACAATACCGAGGAATACATATTAAAAAAATACAATACTGAGGGATACAAGTTTAAAAAATACAACACCGAGGAATACAAATTTAAAAAATACAACACCGAGGAATAGAAACGAGGAATACAAATTAAAAAAATACAATACCGGGGATTACGTATTAAAAAAATACAACACTGAGGAATACAAATTTAAAAAATACAACACCGAGGAATACAAATTCAAAAAATACAACACCGAGGAATACAAATTCAAAAAATACAACACCGAGAAATACAAACTCAAAAAATACAATACCGAGGAATACATATTAAAAAAATACAATACTGAGGGATACAAGTTTAAAAAATACAACACCTAGGAATACAAATTTAAAAAATACAACACCGAGGAATACAAATTCAAAAAATACCACACCGATGTATACAAATTCAAAAAATACAACACCGAGGAATACAAATTCAAAAAATACAACACCGAGAAATACAAACTCAAAAAATACAACTATGAGGAAAATAATAATAAGCAATGCAACAATAATATGGAAATATATCAATCACTTTTTTTTTTTTTTTTTTAATTATTACAGATGGACTTATTCTGAAAAACTTGCCGATGCCTACGAAGGAAAAATATCCACATACGGAACTGGAGGATACTATTTGAACCTGACAAGAAGCTACGTCTTTTCTAAAAGAATTATTGACAACCTCCACGACAATTTGTGGATAGATCACGGGACGAGGGCGGTGTTCATCGACTTTACGCTGTACACTCCGAACGTGAATCTCTTCTGTATGGTGAAGTAAGTATTAAAAAGAAAAATCATTTTACTCGATAAACTTTATGTTATATTATTTTGTCCTGAAATTAATTATATATTCCGTCATTTTACATATAGTCCTATTTGAATTATTAAAAACAATATTGCCTTGATCATCAAAACGAACAAACTCTTTTGGGGGCCAGAAGAGGGGGAGCAAACATAAAATTTCTCAACTTTAGACATGGGAAACTAGTCGGCTGATCAATTATAAGGATTAAACAAAATTGTTAGGAATTTCAGTCAAAATTTCTTAAGTGGATTAGCCGACCCTTGTCTTCCAGGTCTTGTCCCTACTTTCAAATGATAGCCCTGATCATGACACATGTTTTGGTCAACATTTTGGGTAACCCATTAAGGAAATTTTGACTGAAATTCTTGACAATTTTGTTTTATCCTTAAAATTTTTCAACTATTTCACAGATTTATTGATTCAGAAATCCTCTTCGGTATCCATCATCCATTCGCGCGAGGTGCCTGCCACACCTAATTTGATTTACTTGATGAGGTGCATATCCTCATGAAGTCCTGCGGTTTCTGTGCTTTTACTTTTTCTCCAGACACCATCTTCCAAAACAGGACCAACAATTCAATTCTCCTCCGCTTTTATAAATACCTAATCTTTTAACAAGTAAATTGAAACTGGGTGGACCAAATAGATGTCTTTTGTTTAAAAATATCAGTCCGGTTTTAAAGGAACCTGCTTTTAAAGACATTGTGAGCACAAAGTAGACCAAACTATCCACCAGTTGATCTCCTGGGGTAAAGAGTCTCCAGAATCAATTTCTGATCGCAGATAGAGGAACATTCTCAAACCTATAGCGCCCAACCTCACTGGAATCGATTCCTTGTCCTTTGTCTTGGCCTTATTAATAAGTAATCTAAGTTTCTCAGCACCTTTTAGGGCCAAAAAGGACTTTCTTAATGTACGCTCTGACCTAGCAGCAATGTCGAAGTCACCGGCATAGCCGAAGAGCTTTTCTGTGCTTCGGTTGCCACTTGCTATGTCATCCTCACCAGACGAATCATTTCATTGGAATGTTCACCTCCAGAAGGTCTCGGCAAAGCTTCAGCCAATTGACACTGCCATAGGCGGCTTTAAAATCAATAAACAGATAAGGAGTGATTCTATATTATACCATTAACCCTTCTCAATGGTGTATAGAAGGGTTAAATGGCGCAAGTTGTGCCATCAACGTGTTTGAGTGAATACATTTTTAAGGTGTTTTGAGTTTTTGAGGGAAAGCACATTTTGGGACACATTGTTTCAATTTTGCCCTATTTTCATACCATAGAACAAGGGGGAAAAGGGAACATAAAGACAGATCACAGCAAGAGTAATTATGTATGATCAACATTGTTTTAAATTTTACATTTACTTTCAAGAAGAGAACAATAACGGATCCTCAATAATAAAGGATCCTCCCGGACTATTGGGTTTCACAATTCCTCAAGGGACATGTGGGCTTTAGAGCAAAGTTACACAGTCTCGGACAGGATATAGACATCCAATGTTCCCCTTGTTGTGTTACGGAGACTATTGAGTTTGTGGTCGCGGCCTGCACTGCTTTCGACGGATTACGTGCCACATTAATGAGAAAAACGGGAATTCACGTGCTCACCGAGGAGGAGTTTCCTCTGTTGGTGAGCAAGGAAAACTTCCCGCTGTTCAAAGACTTCGTAAATGGTTTGGAAACGGCGGTGGCTCCAGCTCATTTCAACCTAGAGGCCCGCAGAAGGAGAAGAGGACAATTGCCGGGAAGATCTCCGGATTCTGGAAGGTAGGCTTAGATAATGAAGAATGAAGAATAAGAAGGAAAGTAAGATGTAAGTGAGCTAGCTATGTGCACAGCCTTGAATATTGTATGATGTTATAATTGAAGCATTGCATAACAACACACTAGTGTTATTATGCAATGCTTAACATCATACGACTTCATACAACCATATTGCCATGGTAGCATGGGAGGGTGGAAAAAAAAGAGCAATAAACTTTCTTGGGATGTGGGTGGAGGGAGATCATGCGCAATCGACTTGAGGGGAATATTCGCTCCTGTCACTTCTCAAACATCAACCTCAGCGCGAAAAGATGATGTGGAAAAGGGCGGGGTGGCCGATTGGGCTAACTGATAAAACAAAGATTACGAGTTCGAATAACGGTGCCGGAGGACCTTTAACTCTGACATTGATCCATCACCCTGTCCCCTGGCCCGATACGGGGACGGTCATCGTCTCGAACCCTTAGGTTTGAGTCGTGTCCCTCATTGACTGCGGAGGTGCAGGCATCCTCCTGTACATCGGCAGTCAATGTAAAGCCGTAGCGATCGTAAGATTGCGGAGCCTGAGACCAATCGTGCTATAAGGTCAGGGAAGCAGTGCTTCCGACCGAATTGGTACTACGGGGCGTCGCCGGAGCCCTGGCGGCGCTATGGGTGGACGGCGAGAGTGCTTGCACGGTTCGGCCGTGGCGGTCGTAGTGGTCGTTGTGTTTACGACCACTCGCTCCACGAAACCAGTGTTCAGCTAGTCTTGACGTTGTTCAGGCTAGTCTTCTGGTATAATGTGTGGACGAGTGGACAGAAGTTATGGTAGTAGAGTCTGTCCTTTCCGTGGGCGCCGGTTGTGTGCCCGCATACTTCTTGGTCTTACCTGGTCCAGGGAGTTAGGTTGGAGGCTGGTTAAGGCTTCGTCGCTAGGAACGGCTTCCAACCGATGCTCCCTAGGAGCATAGAGTAGCCCGATATCCACTGTCCCCTGGCCCGATGAAAACAGCTGAAAAGGCGAGGAAAGAAAATATATATATATATATATATAATGTGTATCTCATTTGCCTAAAACCCGCCTGATATGTACCTGTCTACCTCTCAATATAGAGAAGAAGTCTTCCAAAGATTGTTTTAGAACACTTTAGTAACACACACAAAAGAACTATACCACCATAATTGTCACACCCCAACTGATCTTCCTTAGTTTGTAGAGTAATATTGAATTCATTAGGTTCCTATTGCATACACAATATACAGATTCGATGTATGATCCACATTAATTCAAAATCGATTAACAAAGAAATACTGATTATAACAGGTTAGTCGCTGAGTTTCCGCCCAGTGGGGGAGTAATCCCTTCTTCTAGGTTCCATACTCTGAAGTTGATCCGCTACGTCTCCTTCTGGGACCACATCATCCTAGGCCTGGAAGTGGTGACAGTGGTCATGCTCTTCTTGTACACAGCTGAGGAAATCAGGGAGATATTTGTCCTGAAATGGAATTATATCTTCAATGCTTGGAACATACTTGACCTTACGATTGTGATAGTGAGTTTTGTAGAAAAACATTTTCACAATAGAAACATCTATGATAGTCATAAAAATATTAGATAAATCATGATGGGATGTAAATGCATGATATAAAAATTATTTATAATATGAAGAATAAATCTAAAGTTGAAAACCCACACATTAATATAGTATTAAATATAGGTATATCAAGAATAATGTACATATCTAAAGAACCATTAAGATTGTAAACCTAATTAAACAGTTTAGGGTACAAGATAAAGTTTTAAATTATTGTAAAAAAAAAACATTTTAATTTGTCTTCACGCTCCTTTATTGGTGCAAACCATGATAATATGGAGCCAGGACTTATAAAAGGGACTTGTAGCAGAAGAAAGTTTGAGTGTTAATTATGAAAGTGTGTAAAACGATTATTGTGAGTAAAATGGACCCTATCTGATATTCCAAAGCCAATGATTTCAGAAATATTACGCCAGACATTTGAGGATTGAAATGGTGGTTATATTAAGAAAGATATGGTAGAAGTTTTGATAACAGTGAATTAATAATTGACTGTTGTATATATATTGAAGAGAAGTCGGTTGTGGTTTTCAGCCACAAATAACAAATGAAAAATAAATATATAATATTTATTTTTGACGTTTTGGCTCAAGTTTCAGGTCTAAGAAGTGACAAAATAGCATAGATAAGAGGAACGAGTAGACACAAAAATAATAATATTTAGGTAAAAGGTATAGTTTAATAACATATAGGTAGAATAAACTTTTTTTTTTTTTTTTTTAATTATTTCTTAATGATATTAACACCTGTATTAAATAAATACATCTAGTAAATTTGAACATATGGATTTAATGACATGAAAACACTTGCTGAGTTACTACCCAATGGTAGCACCCTAATGATATGTCTACATTAGGAGATCACGAGCCATCTTCTTTTCAGACGCCTCGGAGGGTTATCAGGAATTGAAGAGGAAGCAAGGTCAGAAACGAGAGGGTTCGGATGGTTAAGAAGTTTATTATGGAAGGATAGATATCTGGATTGGGCCAGATCTGAAACATAATAAACATTAAGGTCATTATGGGTGGTTTTATTTGTAACGAAGTAGGGAGCATTGAGGATTTCACGAAGGATTTTGAATTGGAAGGATTAGATACGACAGGAATTCGATAGTTTAGTGGAGCCCCATAGCTCAAATCCGTAAGTCCAAATAGGCCTTATTATAGTAATGTATATGAGTCTTTTGTAATTAATTGGAAGCTTAGAGCGTTTGTCTAGTAAGTGCTGAAGTAATTGGAAACGTCGAGTTCTTGTCGTTTCAGTCTGGTATGAGGGAAATAAACTTAACATTAATAAATATGTGTAAAGGAAAATACATGATATATAGATAAAGGGAATATAAAATAATGCTGACAAAGTTGGGGATAGAAAGTATTAGAAGCAAAATTGAGATAACTGTAACAAAATTTGGAACTTAGGAATAAATAATAACTGTAACAGAGTCAGAAACTTATGAAATAAATAACAACAGTACCAGAATTAGGAACGTATGAAATAAATAATGATGGTAACAGAGTAAGAAACTTATGAAATTGTCAAAGCAATGAAAAATGAAATAACAAAGAAATTTGATTGAATATCAGGAGATAAATATTGTTATTGTTACACATAAAATAAATAGGGTGACATAATTGCTATAAGTTGGTGTCTTATTGTAGGAGGAAGTGAGATTAACTGAAATTGATTTATTAAGATTTTTTGACTTCTCTTTAATAGAAGTTTTTATTTTTATTTTTTTAAACTTATATATATGGATAAAAAAAAATAATGAAAAAAAGGGCCACCACCAGAGAACATTTATTAGCAAAAAAAAAAAAACTAATAAGATTTTTATTAAAGAACGTTAAATTCTACTTTCAGTGAATATCACAACTTATCAATTGATATGGTGGAAAGCCATCTAACAAAATATGATTTTTACCAATCTTTTAGAAATTTAAATTATTCTGCAACTTGAAAATGTGTTCTTTAAAGAGAAAAACTCATGGAATAAAAGTTGTAGAGCATCAAATTTTGCATCCTTTGAGTACCAACATATTCAAATTAGGCTGTTCTCTGGTGTCCCATGTTAGCATGTTTGCACCTCTATATAAAAGATTAAAAAATAAAATTTCTACTATATTTTTTTACTACATAATTCTTGTTTCAGTCTTTAAATAACTAATAAAAAATATGTTTAAATCAGTAGCTGTGCAATGGTAGACAAGGTTCACTTTACTTAATTTAAGTAATTCACATCCACAACTTTTTCTGCTATGTGTACTCTTTTTACCCACTGGTTCCATGGCTTGCTTTGCAAAATAAATTCTGTTACCAGGTCCATGGTTTTGATTTGGCCAGGCAAACACCACAATATTCTTTTTTTTCATATATAACATGTTATTTTTAAAGTTACTTAGAACTTTTAGTTGCTAATTATATGTTTTTATTGATACACTAATATATTCCTGGGATGTCATCATTCAGTATCTTATTTCTTCAGTTTTTAACTGCTCAATACAAGAGCTTGAAACAGAAAAAACTTTTATTTTATAAAAGTTTCAGTGTCACTGTAATTTTTATTGTCAACAGTTTTTCAGTTTTTTTAGAACCAGTTAACTCCTTTACAACTTTTCAAGTAAAGATTTCACAAAACTTTTATTTAAAAGTTCTGTTAATTTAGCTAAAAAGACAATCTAAGTAATGACTTTTATTCTTAGCTACTCTAACAAATGACATTAGAATCATGTTTAATTCATTTCATCCAAATGACTGTTTATTCATTATTCAATATTCACTTGAATAAATATACAAGTTAAACTTTTGCCATAAACCTGGAACTTTATTACAAAAACGATCCTAAGAAGTTTTTTTTTATGAACTTTTTTCTGAAATGTTTCACTTGAACTGTCAAAATGAAACTTTTTAAAAAACTTCCGTACAAGTTTCAACCTCTGCTCAATACTGCTTCAACATTGCCCATCCATCTCAGATATTTTCCCTTTCAACTTATCCTTTTTGGATTAAAAAAAAGTATTTTAGGTAATATATTTGTTCCCATTCATACCTTGGCTACTATCATACTCTTAAATTGACAAAAGAAATTATATGATGTCACATTTGGTAATTCTAGATATTTCCTTGAGAACATATCAACAAAGTTTTTTTTGTCTTAGTAAAAATAATTTTTGGTTCTGAAAAACCACTAGTTTTCTTTAGTTATCGTAGCATCTATTTCGGTTGTCATTGTTGCAAGTCAAGTAATAATTCACCATAGGTATTTAAAATTATGACAGCACTTAAAAAATAGTACTCCATTAATTTTTCCACAAACTTAACTATATGGTATTATCTAATTATAATAACAAAAATCTCATTCTAATTTATCGACAGTAATTATCATTATTCTGTTATGCTGAATGTTGTTCTGTATTTAGTGGTACCCTGTAATTAGAAACCTTTGATTTAGTAAATTAAGTAACAATAATGTGTTACAATAATATTTCTTATAAATGTGTCGTTTCTTTATTTAAGCTTGGATGGAACTTGGTGACCATAGGATGCCTGAGATATCTGTGGATAAGTAATGAGATACCTTATTTGATCAACATGATTAATAAAGACGATCACGCGAATTTCGACTCGCTCTCGGAAATACAACTATGGTTCAATACGGCGAGTGCATTCTTTGTAGCTCTTGTATGGGTCAAATTCATAAAATATATGATGCTCATCAAGGTTATGTACCATCTCCTTAAAACAATTGGGAAGGTAACAAATTGTTCCTATAGTTCAATAGTTGAAAACAATAAACATACTAAGGTATGTAGTTGATTTTTCTAATTACATTTGTAGTGTGCTCATGAACTGCTTGGATTAACCTTAATATTAATTTTATTACTAATTGCATTTGCACTACTTGGACATCTTCTGTTTGGAGCACAGGTAACAATATCAAAAAGTTTATGTAATTTTTTTAACTGATTATATATTTAAATAAATGAAAAACAGTGATTATCAAAGTAATTTAGAAATGGAAATATAGTTTACTGTTAAAATTATAAGGATAAAAAAATAGTCAGGAAATGCAGGCATTAATAGTGTTCATAAGTTTCTGATGTTTCAACCCAAACATGTTGGTCATCATCAAGGCAACAAAATTACATCAGAAAAATTATATATATATATATATATATATATATATATATATATATATATATATATATATATATATATATATATATATACACAATTATATAAATAAGAGAAGAAAAAGGATGAAATGTAAACATGAGATACTATAATACAAACATAACAATATGCTGAGAAAATGTTTTTGGATTATAAATATAAAATATAAGTATATGCATAGTAAAAATAAATTTACTAAATAATTAGTTCAAATAAAGTAATTTAATGAATAAGAAGTATGCAAAAAAAGTTTGTTTTAAATAAATTAAAAGTTTCTAAAATTGTTTTCTGATTTTTTTTTTATTTCTATACTTTCAATTCCATTTGTTGTTCCACATATTCTTTTTGTTACCAAATCTTACTATGTAACATTTTTTATTGTATTATAAAAAAAATCACCTGCTATTCTTAGCTCTATTGTTTTTTTTTAATACTTTTTATGGCTGTCTTGTATATGGTGAACTATCTGGTGGGCTTGAGATCAGTTTAAGAGACTAATGAATTTATCAGATTTATTTTTGGAGTTCCCAGGCGCTCCCACTTCTCCAGTTGGTATGCCGAGTTGAAGTGGCTCTATCCAGTCTTCTGATGGCAGTACTTCCTAGGTGTATTCCTTTTTCGAACCTTTTTAACCCAAAAATCTTCTTACCTTTTTGATCTGTTTACTCCTTGCTCCTCTGTCCATTCGTTCAACAAGGTATCCCAGCCCTCAAACCTGTTTATTTCTTCAAATAGAACTGTTTTCTTTAAAAAATCCTTTGTCATACGTGCTAACTTGTTTTGGAATTCTCTACCAACCTCCATACCCAAATCCTCACCCTTGGACCTCATTTAAACTTAATTTAATTATCCATCTCTTCAGCAATCAATCTTCCGAATATGTGTAAAATAATGTTCACGTTTTTCAGACCTGTCAGTCACATTTAATGTTATCCTACAGATAATTATATTTCATCCACATTGTTTATGTGTACAAATATGTGAACTCACATATCTGAATTTATCTACATTTTCATATGTCTACCAGTGCCTTTTCTTTATTTTAATTTTAGATCTAGATAACCTTAATCCAGAATAAAATTTATTTTTCTTCTTCTTACGTCTTAAATTGTTTCATTTGTACTAATTATTTAGTTAATTTATTTTACTTTTTATATACTTATTTTTTATTTTTAATTATAACCCACAGACGACTAACGTGGAACCCTCATACTAGACTAAAAAGACAGGAACTGAACCGACGATACGGACAACTATACCGGCTACTAAACAGAAAATCTAAACTTTCCATTGAAAACAAGTTACTGATCTACAAGACAATACTGAAACCTATCTGGACTTACGGACTTGAACTGTGGGGAACAGCAAAATTTTCTAACATCAAACGCATCCAATCCTTCCAATCCAAAGTCTTTCAAACAATAGTCGATGCTCCTTTCTATGTAACCAACAAAACCCTACACCATGACTTTAATACCCCATTTGTCCTAGACCTTATCCCATCAAGATTCTCCAAATTCCACCAAAACCTTACCCATCATCCAAATCCCTTTGCACAATCTCTATCCAGCACCACCCATCCATATAATCCTCCAAGGAGATTGAAACGGCAGTGGTCCCGCGACCTTTTATAGTTTATAAATATTGGAGTTCTGACAATGGCCAGATTCTCCACTCACGACATGAGTGTATGTGGCTTAAGCACTCTTGTTCAATCTCCACTGGGTTTAGCCCCAGTGACGCGGTTGAGAGAGAAGTGTAGGGATCTCCTGGAGTCATGCTTTTCCCTCCACAGTTGGAGGGACAAGTCTGGTTTGGAGTTCTCTCGCCAGATTGTAAATATTGTATATTGGTATATATGTGTTCTTTTTATTCATTTATTTTTAGGTTATATTATTCTTATTTATTGTATATATATTATTTTTCTGTATGATTTATTTTATTTACTGTACATAGAGTGTAAATGTGATCTGTGAACACTATTATAAATGTCCTTGAGACAGATTGTAATATTTTTCAATAAATAAGCTTAAAAAAAAAAAAAAAAATTATAACCCAAAACATTTTCGCAGCATATTGTTGTTTGTAGTATCGTTATCATAAAAGTTTTTGAATGGAAGTACATGTTTGAGGTCGCCTGAGTCCAAATAATCTATTACCACAAAATGGTCAGAGTGTGTTTATGTATGTGAATAGTCTAGCTCAAAAACGAAAAGTCATACGAAACTCATATTACCTATTTAAGATAGACGGGATGTTACAGCAACTTTTTCCTTAAAATCAGCTAACAGGAAATGCCTCTATAAATCAATGGTTATATACATTTTTCCAATTTTCTCAAAAAATGGCTCTAACGATTTTGATTAAACTTGATGTGTTTTATAATTAAGCGGTCTTTAATATCATTTAGGTCTTATCCCTATTGATGTCACTTTACAGGACTAATGATCAACATATCTTCCTCTAGAGTACCTTTAATTTGATTTATTTTAAATAATTAACTTTCGATCATTGTTAGAAGTTATGAAAAAAAATATAACTAAATATAACTTTTGATAGAATTTGATAATTGAAAAATTGAAGAAAAATCGAAAATGTTTATTTAGGTTGGAAATGAATCTCTGGAAATAATAGTCAGAAGTTATACATATAATATACCGTTGGAAAGCAGAAAATTTTAGTAAAAAACAATATCTAACATATAAAGTTGTAGAAGGTAATTGAGATTGACAACAAAATCATACATAATAATTTCTGAAATCTAATATCATTTAACGGAAACCACATGTTTCCAGGGTGACAAAATGAAATTTTTTAACTAAATGTAAACTTTTAAAATTATTTTGAAGTTTGAAAAAAGTATATATAGTGTATATATATAATCCAATGAGGCAATGACATTGTTAAAAAAATTATGTTATTGTACTTCTATGAAAGAAGAAGTGAAATATTAAAATATTTTATCAGTATATTTATAAACTTAAATACATTTACTGTAGTTTTATAAATAAAAATATTTCATGGATATGTAAAACATATCTTTATAACCTTAAATACATTTACTGTAGTTTAATAACTTTAAATCCGATAATATATTTAAATAATTAAGTATACATTTATTCCAAAAAAAATTCCCTTTCTGAAATCTCAACATTATATATACACTTACAATCAGTGTGACGGACGACTTTTGACCTATCAATGCATGGTAAAAAATAAGAATTTAAATACATGTAAAAAGTGAAAGAGAATTAATAACTATAATTTTTACTATGTAGTACGATTCTTACATATTCATAATTAAATATATGTACTTTTAAATCTCTCTAACTCTAAGCCAAATTTTACAAGACAAGAATTGTTTCTTGAAGTAGAGCAGTAAGTGAAAGTTGTGTGATGTGCGCACCAGATTTTTTTAGTTTTTAGCCTTGATAACGACACACATGCTTAAGTCCAAACTTAATAAATACCATTAATGAATAAATTGTTTGACTATTTTTTATCCTCCTAATTATTAAAACATATTTTTAAAGAAAGAAGACAAAAATATTCTATTACAAAAAGTTTTATCTTTAATTATAACTCAAAATAAACTAAAAGGATGATAAGCACTGTTTGATATATTATTATTATTTGATTCAAATAAACTATTATATAAAATAATGTTTTTTTTTTTTTTTGTTAATGCTATTTTTCCATGTTAACTACAAAAGTTATTGTTATGATATTGTTTTTCAAACCTTGTAAAATGTAAGTTTAAAAATATATGAATGATAAAATTTACAAATGTATGTTTGAACTTGAGCTATGTTTGCTAATTTTCTAAATACTTTAAAGGTGGAGGAATTTGGTACGATGAAGGAGGCCATGATATCATTGCTAGTTCTTCTAGTTGGAGCTTTGGACTACAAGAAAGTTCATGAAGCTAGGCCCTTTTTAGGACCGCTCTACTTTATGCTCTATATTTATCTCTTCATTTTAGTATTCTTGGTAACTACTTTTTTCTCATCTCTTCTACATTTGGGATATTAATAATGTACTGTAAAATAGAAATTCTTGAAGGAAGTTCTTCGACTGTTCTACATATCATGGGTGATAAATATTCAGGATGCAGTCTTTTTAAATTTTTTTTTTAATTTTTGCCAACGTTTCGACCCAAACATGTGTGTCATCTTCAGGGCTGAAAATGTTTTTTAAAATTACAATCAGAGATATAATAGTATACGACCGCTAATTATAAATAATAAACTATAGTGATTTATGGTACATGAATCTTAACTAATATTGCAATACACATATTAAAATTAAATATGTAAATACTTATACAATCTAAAACTAAAAAATTAATGTATATAATCCATCTATACAAATTTTTAATATTTTCGATTACTAACCGTGGTTTGAGCACTGAGGGTGTTCAAGTACTGACACATGTTTGGTAGGTAAGTAAAAAGGTCAGGGGTGGAGGATTTCCCAGTTGTCCTTTTTCAGATAGCAAAAAGTAGGAAAACATAGTTAGAAGGGAAGGGAGGTAACATTTATGTTTGTAGAATGTGCATAATTTGTTGACTAAATATTTCAGACGTGTACAATATTTGAGTTATTTCATATGGTTACAGAAATGTGACTATTGGCTAGTAATGAAATGAACATAAGCAAAAGGTGCCAATCAATATAAGTATAGCTTAGTTTGATAACAAGTATACAATGGTCAGATAAATAATTTTTATAATAAAGACAATTTCAATGTATTGAAATGATACGTAGGACAATATTATAAGAATAGCAATATTTATCATAATATAAGTTTGTATTATATTAAGGCTTACATAGGCTATTGTTTTAGGAGGCGGAAAATTATATCTCTGATTGTAATTTTAAAAAACATTTTCAGCCCTGAAGATGACCCGCATGTTTGGGTTGAAACGTTGGCAAAAATAAAAAAATTTAAAAAAGACTGCGTCCTGAATATTTATCACCCATAAAATATAAATTTATTTTATTCAAATTAAAATCCACTAACCGCACCTAACATAAATCTGATGAAATATAATTTTCTTGTAGTATTAAATTACTATTTCTATTTGAAATTAAAGTTTCTATGTATATTACATGCTAAAATGCAAAGATGAAAGGCTGTTAAACATGTGGGAAAGAAAAAAGTCCTCAGAAAGATCTTAGGCCCTACAAAACATCGTTGGCGGACCATTGCGCCGTTGATAGATAGATATATATTAAAGAATAATATTGGCATTAATTATAACTGATGATATAATATTTTTTATTTACATTTTTAGAGTCTTTTTGTTGCTGTGCTTGTGAATGGATTTACAACAGTAAGGTAAATAATTCCTGTAATTTAATTAGTTAACAAAAATAGTATTGACAAGGGGAGGTAAACATCAGTGGGTTCGATTTCAACCAATGTTTATTTTTGTGATTCTACATGTCTTTCAAAAGGACACTAAAAATGAATATAACTTTCTTTTTCATAACAAAAATTTACTTTTTTACTAGAAGTGGGCGCCTTTCGGTTGTTGTAATTTAGGATATATTATAATTCATTTAATATTATTAGTGTATATTTTGCTTATCCTGCACAAAAAAATAAAATTGATTGGTATATAATAATTTAAGAAAGATGGGAAAAAGCAAAGACAAAAAGAAAAAACAATTTTCTTTTTGACTTCTAAGGCCCATTTGTAATATTTTTTATTATAGAATTACAAAAATCCTAGGTCCTATACTTTATACAGTTGACATCCCAACCCATTCCAACACTGGCATCACCACATATGCCGATGGACACATGTATCCTATCAGTCAATAACGATCCATCTATTGCATCCCAAACTCTTCAATCACACATCACAAGTCTTGAAAAATGGTGTCAAAACTGGAGGATTAAAATAAACTCCAATAAATCCCGTCAAATTACCTTTACTCTTCGTCGTAAACCTATGACTTCCTGTCCTACAGTATCCTTTAACAATAGCCCACTTATCCCTGTTGACCAAATCCGATACCTATGACTCCACCTGGACAAACGACTCACTTGGAATCCTCATACCAGACTGAAACGACTAGAAACCGCCCGACGTTTCCGACTACTCCAGCACTTACTAGACAAACGCTCTAAACTGCCAACTATTTACAAAAGACTCATATATATTACTATAATAAGGCCTATTTGGACTTACGGGATCAAGCTTTGGGGCTCTACTAAACCATCAAATTCCTCTTGTATCCAATCCCTACAATCCAAAATCCTTAATGCTCCCTACTTTGTCACAAATAAAATCATCCATAATGACCTTAATGTACCATATGGTTCCGATTTAGCTCAATCCTTAATCTGCCTGTCCTTTCATAATAAACTTCTGAACCATCCGAACCCTCTCGTTTCCTACCTTGCTTGCTCTTCTATTCCTGATAACCCTCTGAGGCATCTGAAAAGAAGATGGCCTCAGGACCTTCTAATATAGAAATATACATGAAGAGAAACTACCAATGGGTAGTTTCTCTTCATGTTGTACATGTCAAATTACACTTGTTGTATTTATTACTAATTACAGTTGTAAATTTCATTAATAAAAAAAAAAAAAAAAGAATTACAAATAAACATTTGTTTGAAATCTGTGATCCATTGAGTTACCTGTGTTTGTGAGTTTATTTGGTCAATGTAGATTATCTCATTTAATTTGTTCTATTGTTATTGTTTTATGTTGTCTTATTATATAATAATCTATTGTTTTCTATAGTTTTATTCATTAATTCATTGATTATACTCCTCTCCACGGAATACTAAGTGCCGGAAGACAGGTTAACGGAGATGTTGGACCACTCTGCAGCAAATATGGCCGAGAATCAGAAACCCCAGCTCACATGTTGGGCAATTGTCCGAATAACATGCTCCTAGTCAACCGCCGGCACAATAGTATAAAGCATCGTATAGCCCAATTCCTTGAAATAAAAGAACTATAAATGTTCCCTCGATAGTTTATTGCCTGGATACAGAAGACTCGACAAGATTCATTGACATTTTGGTGTTCAATGCAACTGAAAAGGAGACACTCATAGTGTCACCATAGTGAAAAGCAATAATTTATTTTTTATTAAATGTTAAAAAATATAGTGCTGATTAATCCATTTTTAGGTTTGACATCATGGAAGACCGCTCAAAAATATATCTGAAGAATATATTTTATGATTGTTTAAATAACCTTCTTAAATTCATAAGTTTTAATAAACTATCTAAAAGACTAAAAGAAAAACAAAGAAGAGACATAGCAGAAGAGAATTACAATGTCATCATAGACATACTGAGAAGGTAATAATTATACTTACATATTGCACATTATTATAGAGTTTTTTGTAATTTGAGGTTCTTGTCTATATACCATTCTAATACATACTATAATAGCAACTAAGAAGTAAAAAAAAAAATCTACCTTTGAGGCATTGTAACTGCATAAGATATTATATTTTGTTGGTAATTAAATGTTTCATAAATGTGTTCTTGCTCAGAGAAACAGATTTGAGTAAAAAAAAAAAAAAGTATTATGTTGATCTGAATTTGAGACTTATTATAGACGAATACTACAGGGTCACGGATACAAACAGCTATGTTACCATACTGGCTGTTTCAAGCATAGAATTTAGAATGACATTCTGTTATGACTTATAATAGTATTCTGTAATCATTGGATGGGAGAATCTTTAATGTATTTTTCTACCTTTACTGGCATGTAGCAAATCTTAATGAAACTAGTTGTAAAATTCTAATTGTCATATTTTATTCTGGTACATGCGTAATCGTGATCTTTAAAGTTTTAATCTCATCTAGTTTGTTACTTTGTAACTTTCCATAAATAATTTCTGTACAGTTTAATGTTTTCTGTAACAAAAAATACTCTTTTCTTTGCTTGTAACATTTAATTTTAAAAAAATAATTCTAATAATAGTATATACATTGGATCAAAAAAGTATTGGCACACCTAACTTTTTTCATGTTGTGAAAAAATCCAAAATGTATTAGTTAAACATTTCTATTTAATAAAAGATTTCAAAAAATTTATAATTGGGAAAAAAAAATTAATTTACATAATTAAAGAAATCAGTACACGATAAATTACTTCAACAAGGCCAAAAAAGTATTGGCACACTTTTAATTTGAGGATTATTTAACGAACTGGATTGTATTAATATTTTTTCATCATTGGCATCTATGACACGGTAAAACATCGTAAAAACAAGATTTTGAGTTAGGTCTAGTTCAATTTTATGATATTTCTCTGACAAAGTTTCTTTTAAATAATTTTATTTTTTCTTACTTTAAAATCCAACAGATACATCGATGTATAGCATTTATGTTCGGAGATTGTAGTGGCGTTTTCTATCGGCTGGGACCATTGTACAGCATCCATTCTTTTATTTTATTAGCTAAGTGCCTGGTGTCACTGTCCTGTTGAGAGATAAATGCATCTTTGATCCTCATATTTTCGGCTCTACTTGTTAAATTATGTTCCAAAATGTCGCCATATTGATTGGCATCCATAATATTGTCGAGCTTGAAACTCAGTGTCAAGTTTCCGCCAATTGTACTTGTCATCATCGGAATGAAATATGTTAAACTTACTTTCATCTGAAGAAAGATTCCAGAATTCGAAGTCTTTATTAACTTAAGTATTGGCCAACTCATCTCTTTATTTGGGGCTCACCTCTGTAATAAAAGTAATGTAGTTTTTTATAATAAACTACATTTTCTTCTTCCCTTATTTAATTTTTTTTGTCTTATCAATCTGGAAAGCCAATTGAATGGCTGTTAAAACAGGCTTTGGTTGTCTATAGTGCTATACTCAAAATTTTTAATGCCAATTAATTAAAATAATTTAGATGTTATATAAAATAAAAACAAACAAAAAACTGCATCTCTTGAAGGTGTTCTCTAACTAGTTTAGGTATTATTAAAAATAAAATAAGCTAATAATGCAATAAATATCGGCAGGTCAGGGTTTCGAGGTAGAGAATTGGATTTATTTTTAAAGAAACACAAAATTCAAAAAGGAAGAGATATCAGTACGCAAAAAATGGCTCAAATTTATGACGACATTGATGGAAAAGGACAAATCTGTAAGACATAAATTTATTTGAAAACAATTTAGAAATTAATTTAATTTTAAAATATATCTATTTTTTGTTCCAGATATCGAAGCTATTGAACATGAACAAATAATGAATGACATTGATCTGTAAGTAATCTATCTGTAAGATCTGTAAGGTATTTTTTCATGAAGATAATTTTGATTAAAAAATGTCTTCAACATCCTTATGTGTTGCTGTATTTTAATATATATATATATATATATATATATATATATATATATATATATATATATATATATATATATATACACACACACACACACACAAAAAGTTTAAATAAATGATTCATTTCAAATTTCTTTTCAGGTTACGATTGAGGATGGCATATAGCGATAAGATGACGGAAGAATTGGCTTCTAAAATAGAATGCCTTTTTGCTAAAATTTCACCAACACCGAACTGAAAATTTTAACTACCATTTATATAGAGGTAGGTGTTAGACATATTTAAATGAATTATATAAATAATTAAATACAAAAAATTGTATCACTACAACTCATGAACGGTCTTGGATTACGTAAAGAATTACTGTATCTTAGCAATAGCTTCCGTAATCATGCTCATCATACTTTTTTCTCCTACTAAAGGTACCTACTTAACTAGAGTTTTCCAATCAAACGGTGATATACCAGAATAAATAATTACCTATTATAGTAGGGCTTAAATCCAGGTCTGGGAAATAAGGGCACTCTGCCTTACTGAACTCATTTTAAAAATAAATAAGTGTACACAATAAGTAAACTGTGTGTAAAATAAATTTACTTATTTTTCAAATTATTTATTTTATTATAAAGGCGTCAATCACCAGGGTCATTATTGCCTTGCAACAATGGTTAAATAATTATTTAATTTGTATTTGTTGAGAATATATTTGTCAAAATTAATTTATTAATACATCAATATGATTAGTTGAGTTTATTTATTATTTAATAAAAAATCATTGTTAAATATTATGAATGTTAATTTTAAGTGAGACTCCATTAAATTAGGTTAATTATTAAAGTAACATTCATTATATTTTCAGGTTGAAGATCAAGTTGATAGTTTGTGTATTTTAAAACCAATTTATTATTATTTTTTAACCTATATAAGACTGAAGTCTTGAATATAATTCATACCAGCATTTTTCATTGTTAAATACTAATGTGAAAATATTTTGAAACAATTCTGAAGATTGACCATTTACAATATTTTTTAATTTTATATGTTAATAAATAAAGTTTTAAATAACTTAGATTGTTTTCTTTATTAAAATTAAAAATGATTAATAAGATTATAGGTAGATCTTTTTTTTTTAAATATTACTGTATATTCCAATTATTATACACAAAAATAATTATATTTTATTAGTTTTAATGCCAATATATATTTATTACAGGTACAGAACCAAGTACATGTTTTGTTTATTGGTATATTATTTTCAATGAACCATTGTGATCGAACTAAAAATTCATAAACTTAACTCCCTCTCAAAACTTGTAGTTTTACGTTTCAGGACATGTAGAATTTGAAAAACAAATACTAATTTTTTTGTCCATCCGCCCTCTGTAACTACTGGATCGATTTTTTTCAAATTTGGATTTAAAATTAGAGGTCACCCGAGGATGATCATACTTCATCAACATTTCTATCCGCCTTTTACTTTCAAAATGGCGACCAAAATACCTGCATTGCTATAGACTGCAGCGCCGATGTACCGATTTCAATGAAACTGTGCTAAAGTTTTCTTCTCGATATCCTTTAAATTTCTCTGTATAACACAACGAAAAAAAGTTACAAGGGATGATAAAATTAGATTCCGACTAAAAAAGTATACACTTTTTTGTCGATATTGTGATAAGATGTTTCAAAGGTATTTAAATTTCCTAAAAAATGCAGAAAGTTTTATCGAAATCAAAACATTATTAGTTAAGATATCGCGATTTTTTAATATTTTTGGTTTATTGTATATGGTTATTTAAAAGTTTACTGAATTTCCTATAAAAAAAAAAATCATAAATTCGGACAGTTAGGAGTACAGATATGGTCTCTAGATGTTTATATGTTATACTGCAAAGGTTATATCCTTTGTTTTGGTTTTTGAATGTGTTACTGAAGTAACGCTAATTTTTCTAGCATATTACTAATGTTTTTAAAAAAAAAAGTTTAGTCCAATAATTGGAATCACCTTTTATTTCTTTTTCTTTGTCACTGCGAAGGTAATGTTACTTTAGATGTATAATTGTTTGGAAATAATAAACCATTGTGAAATAATTTGCAGCATTTTTCTTTTCTTGTATTTACTTTATAAGTATGCTTTCAGTTGTTATTATTATTTAAATTCATTTACTTATCCTGTATAAATAGTATTAATGAGAATCATTATACCATTTTTTCTACTTTAATTAGGCCATTAGGCAGATTGTAAAATTATTAAATAAAAAACTTAAAGAGCAAAATAAACACATTCAGATTAAAATGAATTGTTATTAATTGAAAAGAATAAGTATAAAAGTTATGTATTTTATATAAAAGATTACAGACAATTCAATTCATTTACTAAATAAATTAAAGGGAGACTTCGATTAATATCAAGTTTTGGTTTTTAAACCAATGCATTAACAAGTTAAAAAAATCTAAAATGATTCTTTCATAGAAAAATCAAATCACAGAAGGCAAGCAATTTTTTAATTAGCATAGTAAATTTTGATGCCTTAGGTACCACCATCTTCACATTTTGCATTATTTTCATTGTCTAAGCTCTTATCAACTGTTTTTTCATCAGTATCATCATTTTCTAGCTTTTCTACTTTGTTAATATCATTTTTTTTTAAAGGTATGACTTCGGATTTATCATCAATTTTTCTTTTTCTCTGATCTTCATCGGATGTTTTCCTCTGTTTTAAATGTATTTCGTACAATTTTTTCATTTCGCTAACTTTCGAATCAGGAATGGTCCATTCGTGTATTCCTTTTTTACGTACAGGATCGAATTCGGGATTGTAATCATCTATTTTCAAATCTAAATTTTCTAATAGAAGGCTCATTACTTGGTCTACGTAGCCGTTGAGGAGCATATCAGCTCTTTTGTCCTGAAATATTTACAAAAATAATAGTTATACCAAAAGTTAAAACATAAAATATTTTTGTATTTGTAAACTCTTCCTTATCTGGTAGGTTCTATCTTAAAGTTTAGGCACAATCTGTTTGTATTTTTGAGCAATTTGCAATCTCTTTATATGAATTGTGATAGATTGTGTACTGTGTGACAATGAAATAGATAGTATAATATAAGTATTAAATGATGAAATTCATAAATTATTTAATAAATTCCCTATTTATCATTCTATTCAATAAATTTTATCAAAAAAAGACTACTTTAAATATTATCATTACTGTTAATTTATTGTATAGTTTAAGAATTACTTTTCTAGTCCGTGGTATAGACCCCTTTTTATCAAATTATTAACATCCGCCTGAAACTTCATCAATAGTTTCATCTCATCGTAACTTACAATATAAGCTGGAGGGGGGGGGGGGGGGCAAACTTTGTCTATTTAATTAGGTTCTAAAAACTCGTAAATACACATTTGCTTTCTACTTGGATCGTAAGATAATTTGATCACAAAATCGAGAAAAAAGGTGGCCTTAAAAAATATTGAACCGTTTGGCTTGATCTATACTCCCACAATTTTCAAAATAACGGAAGTTATAGAGAACAAATGGCCCAATATTTTTGTAGGCCACCTTTTTTATCTATTTTGCGATCAAATTATCTCTCGATTCAAGTATTTACAAGTTTTTAGTACCTATTTAAATAAACAAAGTTTGCCCCCCTCCAGATTAAAAACTCCCCAATTCCAAGAGTTTTCATAAAAAAAATAGTTATAGGTTACGATGAGATGAAACTCTTTACGAAGTTTCGGGCAGATGTTATTAATTTGATAAAAAGGGATCTGTTCCACGGACTAAAATGTGTTTACATATATATTCTGACAAACACATGGTTAATTAACTATTGCTATCAGTTTCTTTTATCTGTCCGTTGGAGAAAATAACATAAGGAAGAATCTACTGAATTAAAAAAAAAATATTACAAAAATACTAAATGATAATTACATATTTTGTGGGTTGGAGATTACATATTACGAGTTTTCCATTCTGATTTTTCTTTGTGAACAGAGGTAAGTTACCACTTGGAATAATTTGCAGCGTGGTCCCTAAACAAATACTGAGGTCGGCTAAACTGAAAGAAAAAGAAAAAATCTTAATTTTTTTTATGGCTGTTAGTAAGGAGATAGTTAACATATTTGGATGAAAATAGACTTTTCATTTGATTATAAATAAAAATTGATATAAAATTAGTATTATTCAAAATTGATCATCCATACTTAGTTCTCCTGTGGTGTAACTCCGACCACATTGGTATAGGACAAATAGTGTTTTGTTTATTAATGTTCAAACTGCTTTTGAAAAAGTAAGTCAACTGCAATCATATTTAAAGTAGTTCTAAGATGTAAACTTTACAAAAACAATTTAAACTTCATGAAATAATAAGATTTTATAAAAATTTACTTAGAGTGATAGTGCGCAAGATCTAGATCTTTCTCGGGCAATGAATGCTCCCAATCTAAAATAAAGTCATGGAGAACTCCTCTACACGGTCGGCCGTTTGTCTTAACACCTGGACAGTTAAGACCTAAACATTTCTGTCCAACTGATGTAGTGGCTGTCTTTCTGACAAACTGCCTATAACAAAACACACACATAAGATATAGTTTTAGCAAGAATTCATTTATAACATACAATATGTTTATACTGAATAAATTAAAATATATATCTCCAGTTTATTTAAAAATCTGGTATGCGCAATACACAACTTTCACTTACCGCTCAACTTTGAATAGAAATTATTTTCTGGCCATGTTGGGCTATTATAAAATTTTTGAATTGCATTTTTAACTGAGCTAAAGCTGAAAGATTACAGTTAACAAATAATAAATACTATTAAAATAACAAAAGTCCTATTTGTTATATCACCGGTTGATTATTGATTATGGATTCTACGACTATAAGTTATTAAACTGTTTTTTCATTGCAAAATTTACTAAAACGGAATTAAGAGATTTGCATTGTCTGTCATAGACAGGTCAAAAGTTGTCACAATGATTGTAAGTGGATTCTGTTGGAATATCGCAAAGGGAAAATTGATCAAATTATTCACTAATCTAATTTTCTAAAAGGTTACATAATGATTTTTCGGAATATACAGAGGATAGATACCTAATTATTTAAATATAATATCAGATCTAGAGTTATTAAACTACAGTAAATATTAAGATTATAAACGTATCCCATGAAATATTTTTATATTTCACTTCTTCTTTCACGCAAGTACAATGAAATTGTTTTTTTAAAAATGCCATTGCCTTGATTAGATGAATTTTTAATACTTTTTACAAACTTAAATATATTTTTTAAAGTCAACATTTAGTCAGTAAATTTAATTAAATTTCCTTGAAAACATGTGATATACCTTAAATATTATTAGTTTTCAAAAATTATTATTTATAATTTTTTCGTCCATCTCTGTTACCTTCAACAACTTACAACATGAGATATTGTTTTTTCTAAAATTCTCCACTTTCCAACGATATATTATATAGTATTATATATATTATAGTATATTATATCAGTTTCGTAAGACTTTTTGTTTTCGAGTTAGAATGTTCTCATACACACAGATCATTTTGGGACTTGGTTATTTGGGCTCAGGGTACCAGCGTGTATTTCCGTTGAAAACTCAGACTCAAAAACTTTCACGATCGCAATACTTACCCTTACTATATATAACATATATAGGGTAAGTGAAAGTAAAAAAGTCACTAAGTACATTTTTGATGTATGTAGGTTAAGTACATTTTTGATGTATGTATGTTAAGTTTCAAATATGTTTTTACGAATTTTGACCTTATTTATCCATACGAAAACATCCTAACTGCATAAAAATGGCACAAACCCTTTTATCATATATAGTTGCACTATGTGCACAATTTTCTGATTTTACAAATGAAAATTTCATCAAAGTTCTTAATTATATGAGGTTATGAAATGTCACTTAATGACTTTTTGCAATAAACTGATAATATGAATTTATAAGAGAATTTTATATTCATTCAATTATATGAACTTAAATGCTGCTTTAAGATTTGGGAAAACAGGAAGGTGTATTTTTTTACACAGTAATTTTTCTATAATTTTAAATGTCAGCTGTGCCAAATAAGATACTGTATGACTACAATTCATGGTAGGAATTACTGTTTCTTGGTCAACGTCTGTGCATGGTGATTTGACTGAGATTATGCTCACACACCAGGTTTTTTTCTCTGAATTAATTATTTAATTGAAATTATCCATTTTATAGCGGCTTAGTATGCCTCAGGAGGGTCTCACGATCTGTTTCGATCCATGGCTGATGTAAAAAAATAAATAATTACCTACCAGAACCGGACTCGAATCTGGGACTCAAAGCAGAGCTACCTCTACTTGTGACAAAAATTAATAAAAAATAAAAATGTTTATACTTCTTTAAGGTGTGTGAAAGTGGAAAAGGGATTTTATTTATTTTTTTCGAAATTTCATACAAAATGAACCCTCTTATTTTGAAATTAGAGTAACTGTAAAAATAAAGTTATTTTTCATCTACTCAGATATTTCCCATTTTGCCAAAATCACATTTATTTGATAAAATTTCAAACGTACTGATCCCAATAATTTTTTTGTTTAATTTATAAAGTCCACCATTTATAAGTTAAAATTATCAACAAACTTGGTTAGTTAATTATAAAAATAGAACACTTTTTAACTACGATAATAACTGCTTAAAAGCTTATATTTAGAAATCTGACCATAATCCTAGATATTTTCAAAACTTAGCACAATAACAACTTGATCAAAATTAAATAACACAGAAATACATATTTCCCGGAAGTAAACAAAAAAACCTCATTTATAATTCTTACCTTTTACAACTGCTGCATTGATTTATGAACATATTTCCATGAAGTTCGGAAAGATACTCACGATTTAACCCAGATCTTAAGTGAAGACCATCAATGTTTTGGCTTACAATGTACTTAACATAACCTATAAAAAAAAATCACTTATGCTACATTGAAAACAAGTAAATATTAAAAAACAACATTAGATAAGCGATACCTGCTTCAACTAATTTGACTAGAATCATATGAGTTTTTGTCGGAAGAGCATCATTGAAAGATATGCTTATTTCTGGCTTCTTTCCCTGTTCCTCGAGAGTCCATACTCCTTTGGGACCTCTAGAATAAATAAAATGGTTCAAAGTTTTTATTTAAATATTGATAAATAAATAACACTGGGATATAAAGAAGGTATCTCATAAATTAATTTTCAACGAGCATATAAATAAATATATCAGAACATTTCAAATACATAATTCCATACTACCGGCTGAAGACCTAATGGAATCAGAGCCAAGTCTTTGACTGAAACAAATACATAAAAAATGTCTACCAACAGAAACTAGCTGGATTCTGGTATATTGAGAACAGAGGAAAGCAGGATGAGCAAATGACAAAACAAAAATATTCTGTACCTTGAGTGGAGAAAATTGTAGGAAACAGTAATATAATGAGGGGGTTTTATTATACAATCCTCTGCTAGTTGTTACAGAGGCCAACTGAGGATCATATATACATGTATATATGTATATATATACTGAGGATCATACCTTCTCAACCACTAGCGGATTCAGGATTTAATTTGGGGAGGCTTCAGTCCGAAAGATTTTTTTTCATATACATATAACGATGATTAATTTGAAAAAAAAAGAAAGAAATTAACTACCTATATGAAATGGTGTTTAAGTGGTTCTTGAAGTCCTATTAAATATAATTACACAAACAAGAATACTTTAAGAGATAAGTTTTTAATATTTTTTCGGTAAAACATGGTTATATTTCACCATTTTGGGGGGCTTCAGCCCGAAAGCCCTCCTCCCTCCCCCCATAGATCTGCCTGTGCTCTCAACATCTATTTCAATTCTCTTGACACTGAGAAAAGATTATAGGAAGTATTGTCATCGCAAAACTAGGTGAAACTTAACTTATACCACCCCTTCATTTTTCGTCCAGCCCTAACTCGCCTTTAAGGCTATACAGAGATTCTCCCAGGCCAGGGGAGAGAGTGGGAGATTAATGCCAGAGTTAAAAGCCTTTCTCTTATTCCATTAAAAAAAAATAATAATGCTGCAAACGTTGGTAAATATCTGATTCTTGAGGACATCAATAATATAGTATGAGCAAGTTTCTAAACTCAAATTTCTACATCTATATCATTAGCCATAATTAATTTTTATTAAAATCTTATCACCTTCTGGAAACTCCCAAAAAATCCATTTCAATTAAATTAGCCATAATAATATTAACAATATTATGGCTTTTGACTTCTGCTGGCTTAAAAAGAATAAACAAACACTCAATGGATTTTTTTCAGAAGATTTGGTTATCTTCATCTAATTTCGGACACACATAGCCATTATGAGAATTACATCTAAAGTATGATATGAGATTATTACTCTTCTATCATGGTAGAGTGACACTTGTAAAACAGTACACAAATATAATTATATATTTTTTTAAATATATATCCTTATTCGGACCGAAGAAGGATGAGTTAACTGGAGAGTTCAGACGGTTACACAACGCCGAATTGCGTGAGCTGTATCTGGATAATATAATTGAGGTAATTTCATCGCGGCGAATCAAATGGGCTTGTAAAGTTGTTGGGCTTAGTAACGAGAGAATTCCTAAAAGGTTAATATTTGCTGTGCCGAATGGTAAGCGTCCGAGGGGTAGAGCGAAGCGAAGGTGGGAAGATTGCATTAAAGCCGATCTGAAGGGACTGGGTTTGGACGGCGAACGGTGGAGGGAGGTGTGTAACAAGCGATTGGTGGTGTCGGCATCGAACCTTCGGGTTCGCTAAGCCTTATTATTATTTTTTTAAATAGTAATATAAAATAAATCCATTTCTTGTTACAGTTTAATTACTGCTAATTAATTACCAGAGAAAAATTTAACTATTACATTAAAAATACCTGTAAACATTTTTTCGATCGTAATAACTGGCATTAAGAAACATACCTTCAGAAATAATACAAATATTAAATAAAAGAAAAATTCTTTCAGAGAAAAATGTATGTAATAGAATCCAATATGGTTCAGTCTGATATCTATTATCAGAAGGTAATCTTAACTAGTGTATGGAAAAATTAAACAAATAAATACCTGAAATCAGGTATACCAGCCGATGTACTGATTCCTGCTCCCGTATGAACTACTACATGGTTTGATGAAGTGATCCATTTTGATAGCTGTTTCACTTTGTCTACCAGGGATTCATCACTTTCAAATACCTGCAATAATGAAAATGGATTTTGGAATAACTAAAATAACTGTTGAATGGAAATTCTTCACTCAAAATGCAATCCATTTTATAAGTTCACAACAACTTTGTACAAAAATCTTACTTCTTTCAATCCTAATTTTCCTTTATGTTCATAAGGGGACAATCCTTCTGCATAGGAACATGACATAATGCACTTAAAAGTATGAGTTAAATGGAAGATATTTATAACCTTCTCTTTGAATACACAAGTTAACCAGAACTAGTACCTTTCCACTGCCGGCTTGGGGTTGAGAGGTCAATGCTCTAATAATAGGGCGCTTATTTTAAAGTTATTTTTTATTTAATTTTAGATTAAATAAACGTTTTATCGTTTCAAATTAATAGATTAACTGATTCCATATTTTTGGAATTGGATTTTGTAAAGTTGGGGGGATGTGTGAGTACTTCAATATTTTTTTTTTTTAAAGAACACCTTAAAGGATTTTAAAGAACGTTAAAAATATGAATTAAATTACGGCTATAATAAACCTATCTATATAAATAAAATAAAGATTTTTTCTGTAAATTGAATAGAATCAACCCGTTTTATGATATCTTTCCGTTTCATACATTGCAGACACAAAATCCACTTTTAAAAAACTTTTTGTCTGTCTGTATGTCCGAATTGCAACGAAATTTTGTCAGGGGTAAGCTCCGCAGTGGCTTATTGTGGACTTTTGAAATTTTGACATTATATTAAGATTTACTTGACTTAAAACATAGACTTTAAATGAAAACAAAATATTGGGTAGAACCGAAGTTATGAATTCTTGAGTAATTTGTCTAAAGATCTCGGTTAATGTTGATAATGAATGTTAATAATAAACACGTGTTTATAGGTTAAACAACATTTATATAAATAAAATAAAGGTTTTGTCTGTACATTGAATAGAATCAAACCGTTTCATGATATCTTTCCGTTTTATACATTACAGACACCAAATCCACTTTTAAAAAAAATGTTTCCTATCTGGATGTCCGCATTGTCCAATAAAATTTTGTCTGGGGTAAACTCAGCAATGGCTAATGGTGGACTTTTGAAAACATTGATATTATATTTAGATAATATTATATTATATTTTAGGTTTACCTGACTTAAAATATAGACTTTAAATGTAAACAAACCCCCATACCAGACTGAAACGACTAGAAACCGCCCGACGTTTTCGACTACTGCAGCACTTACGAGACAAACACTCTAAGCTTTCAATCAATTACAATAATAAGACCTATTTGGACTTACGGAATTGAGCTTTGGGGTTCCACTAAACTATCGAATTCCTTTCGTATCCAATCCTTACAATCAAAAATATTTCGTAAAATCCTCAACGCTCCTTACTTTGTCACAAATAAAATCATCCATAAAGACCTTAATGTTCCATATCTTTCCGATTTGGCCCAATCCAGATATCTATCCTTCCATAACAAACTGCAGAACCATCCGAATTCTCTCGTTTCCAACCTTGCTTCCTCCTCGATCTCTGATAACCCTCCAAGGCGTCTGAAAAAAAGATGGCCTCGGGACCCTCTAATATAGAACTTTAATTTGAGTTTTACCAATGGGTAGTTTCTCTTCATGTTGTACATGTCATGTTACTAATGTCACATTTACTTGTTGTATTTTCTATGTAATACAGTTGTAAATTTCATTAAAATAAAAAAATGTTAACAAAATATTGAGTAGAATCAAAGTTATGAATTCTGTATGCGTAATTTGTCTAGAGATTCCGCTGGGCAGTTACTTACATATTTGGACCCTCGCCCCGATAATACAAGATCCATCTCAAAAAAAGCTTCTCAAATTTTAACTTTACACCTGTCAACGACGGGTACATCAGCTAGTAAACCTATAAAATCTCGAAAGTTGAGAACTTTGACCTAGTTTTACGCATAGATGACGGATGTCTTGAAAAAACATAATGGCATTTTTTTCGCCACATAACGATTTTAAACAAGTATTTGTGTCTAGCTCAATGCCATCTTTGTTCAATTATGTCAAGGCATAATTTTTTTTTTTTTACTTTGCGAAAGAGCTTCTTTTTAGAATTATGCTTGGCATCCGAAGGTATTATTATTTACGACGATTTAAAATCTTTTAACATTGTTATTGGAGAATTTAATATCAATTATTTTAATCTAGTTACTCATATTCTTAGATGTTTCAAAGATTTGTACCGTGAAAGAAATGGTTTTTATTCTATGGCTCTTAAATTATTTTTATTATGGTGTGTTATATTATAACAAGTTGTATATGATAAAATATAGAAGCGAGAGGTTATGTTGTATGGCATATCTTCTTCTAAATATTTCGGCTTTGTTTTTCTCATGTCGGTTATTTCAATATTTTGGTTATACTTATAGCCCGAGATACAGACCACTTTTTATCAAATTATTAACATCCATCTGAAACTTCTCTTTTCGTTACCTTCAACTTTTAACAAGAATTCTCGGAAATGAAGAGTTTTCAATCTGGAGATCGGCAAACTTTTCTCTAGTCTTTCCTTTAGGATTTCCTAGGGGTTACGAAGCGATGATCAAATTATTGGTATGTTTGGTGTGCCTTCCACTCCCACTCAACACTCAAAATAACGAGGTAATATAGGCCAATCTACTCAATATTTTTGTAGGCCATTCTTTTTCTCATTTTTTTTTTATCATATTATCTTACTATTCAAGTGGGAACTATTTTTTTTTTTCATAGCCCCTTTCTATTTATTTTTGTTTTTAATCCTTGGATTGTCGTAATAATAGTCCTTTTACTGCTTAAAAGCATTGTAAGGTTTATTTTTATATTTTTGTCGTTTCTAAGTATTTCGTTGTTCATCTGTAATATAAAGGTGATGGGGCTCACCTCAGGCTTGAGTTGACCTTATCCTCTAGAGCTTACAACTAAATTAATAAAACATCTATCTCATGTGATTTGTTGCCAAAGTTTTGGAATTTTGGCTGGTAATAAATTGTTAAAAAGAGGGTTTGCCAATTGTTGGGATTTTTCGAAAAATGATTTTTTTCGTTTCGCGAAAAATTCTTCTATTGTTGGTAAGTTTAGTGTTGCTTGTATATCCACTGTCTTCTTTCTCTGCAGCGTGGCCAATAGCCAACAGGGAACCAATTGAGTATTCCAAAGATTTTAATACCTCATTAAATTAATTAATTTAATGAGAATACGCCCATTTTTAAAAATTATCGTTGATAAAAAGTTTTTAAAACACATCCCGTATTATAAGAAAAATAATGATATTTTTTTCAAAATGACTTAAAACCATTGATTCTTAAAACCAAAAAAAAAAATAATGCTAAGAAATCGAAAAATATATCACTCATTTTTTTTTTTTTAATTATGCCCAAATTTAGGAATGACTCATATAGTAAAATCGGACTAAAAATATTTTTACCATAGTTTTTTTTTTAATTATTTTATTATGAACACCTTCTTTTTACTAATAATACTCCGTTCTCTAACTTTATTTAAATCGTTAATTATTCACTGGCAAGATGTCCGCTGTTTCTGAAACCATTTTCGGCTCAAAAAACCTTGTCACAATTACATGACATTAAAGGTTCTTTACTTCGACGATGCGTGCGACTGCTGTGCCAAAACCGTTGTTAGAGCGTGGGGCCTACGTGATTTGGCTAGGATCAAACTTCGGTTTTATACGTCCATTTGGTTGCAATTCATTTCTCTGTTGATCCCCCGAGTTGTTGGGAATGCATTTACAGGTTTAGCAACTTTGGAAGTTACATATGCATCCTTCATGTTTATTGAAGTCTCGTTTTCACTGTTATAAATAAATAACGGTCTTCTAATGTGGTTCCTTATATTAGACCTATATCAGACTATAAAAAAAAAAACGAATAATTCAATAGAATAGACACACGTACTGTTAAATTATTCAAAATTACTCATGCCTTCATTTTCAATTTTTAGCTATCAGAAGATGACTTGTTATAAATTAAAAAAACGCTACAAATTATTCCACAATGGTTTATTATTTCCAAACAATTATACATCTAAAGTAACATTACCTTCTTGTTACAAAGAAAAATAAATAAAAGGTGATTTCAATTATTGGACTAAACTTTTTTTTTTAATCATTACTAATAAAAAAAATAGCTAAAAAAATAGCATTACTTCAGTAAAATATTCAAAATTTAAACAAAGGATATAACATTTGGAGTAGAACATATAAAAAAAACTGAAGACCATATCTTTGCTCCTAATTGTCCGATTTTAACGATTTTTTTTTCGTTTCTAGGAAATTTTGTAAACTTTTAAAAAACCAAGTTTTTGAATTTTTGTGTCGATCATCAAGGAGGATCATCCCCGAGTGACCTCTGATTTTATTTCCAGATTTGAAAAAAATCGGTCCAGTAGTTTCGGAGAAAATGCGCGGACGGCAAATTTTTTTTTTGACTAAAATGTATTCCCATGGTGACTCGTGTTAGCGATTTTACAGGTTTGAATTCATATATGCAAGTTAAAAAATAGCAAACTTTTTCCAAAATTTTCATAATATTTTTCCCGTTTCGATCTTCAAGTTACTGACCTAATATTATTTAAATCAGTCGCCATTTTTTAAAGAAGAGACTCTGGAATGGTAGAAATGGTTTATTTTACTTAAAATAACACAAAATTTCGTAATTTACATCCAAATCTTCGCCTGCGATGAGAATACTTGTTCGGACCTGGCTTCAGGAATTAATGTAGATTTATGATTTTAAAATAAAATCATTTCTATTAACCAAAATACATTCCAATGTGTTGGTATTTATTCCGTTCCTTCTACATAGAATGTTAAACCATTATTGTTAACAAATTATGAAAATTCATATTAGAAAAACATTAACGAAAACTGGTTAACACACTCCAGATAACAAAATAGTTATTTTTTTTTCCGAAAAAATGCAGCGCAAACTTTATAAGGATGATGTTTTAGAACGTGGTCGTTACATACATGAGCAACCCAAGTTTCGAACTTTATTGCCTTTCCAGTTACGTTGAGGTGACCAGCGATGGTCGATTGGCTGAGAGTTCGACCAAAGCTCTCAGAACAACGACATCAAGGAAAGAAGTCCTTCCACGACCATCTTCCTCATCCAGGTTAAAGTCTTCCTCTGGAATATTTTTAACCATCGTTGAACAATGCACTCACTTACACTGCAATCACCTCAGACTTCATTGATGTTTTGGGTCTTTGAGCTCCGTTCGA